CGCCTCCACCCTGCATGCCTCGACCGCTGCACGCCTCTGGGCACTACGGCGCGCACAGCCTCCGCGGCGCTGGCCCGCCCGCAAGCCGCTCCTCCGCCGACCGAGGCTGGACGCCGCTCGCGAACGTTGAGACCCTCGGCGGCGTCGGCGACGGCGGCGTTGGCGACACGGCTAACGCTGCTCTCGCCGACCACCTCGGCTTGAGCCTGTTTGGCGTGCTCGGCGGAGGCAAGGTGGGACAGGGCGTGCTGCAGGGCGAGTTCGCATCGGCGGCCGACAACGAGGTCGAGCGGATCCTCGACGGGCTCAAGGCGGACCAAGCGGACCTCGGCGCCCTCGGCGACCTCGGCGATCCGGCAACCTCCGCAGCGCCCTTCCTGTTTGCAAGCAGCGGCGGCGCCGGCGCAAGCAACGGCCACGCCGGCACCGGCTACGCCGGCACGGGCGGAGCCGGCACGGTCGGCGCCAAGACCCAGCGGTACGCCGCCAGTTTCGCTCACTGGCCAGCCGTCGCTGTCGGCTTTTGAGTCTGCGCCCTGCCGGCGCCATCCCTAGGGGCGCCGGCGAGCGCTCAAGCGGGAGCCGCTGCCCCGGCCGTGCCGCTTCTCGCCACTAGCCCCGCGCGCCGCATGGCGGGGCCCGGCGCGCCGAGCTCCGTGAGACAGTAGCTGCCCCTCTCCCCCGGTCTTCTTCCTCCTCGTCCTCTTCTTCTTCCTCGTCTTGTTCCTGTGCCTGATCCTCCAAGTGGCAAGTGCCCCCGAAGCATGCCCCGGGGCGCACGCCTCTCTCTATGATGCCTTTGATCCGAGTGCAACACGCCGTCGCACCACTCCAGCACGGAGAGCGAGTGCACGGCGCGCACCGACGTGGTTTTTGCGAGTTAGGAAAAGTCAGATCACTCTCACCTATTCGCTATATGCGTTGGCACGCGCTCGTATCTACGTAGCGAGTAGCGTGTTTTTCGATGTGATTCGAATTGTAGTCCGTGGCGGCGGCGTTTAGGAAAGATCTCTAGCGCGCGCGCCTGCCGCGCCTCTCAGCTCACAGGACTCAGCGACAGCGGTCACGCGACACGCGACACGCCGTCACCCAGCCGACAGGCCCCGTGTCGCGCGCACGCACGCGACAGTGCACGCGACCGACGGTCTTTCTCTCGACACTCGAGCGGGGCTGTGGCGCGCTCATGACCCCACACAACTCTCGGCGCGGTCGCCGTCAGTGCGGCCTCTCCCCCATCGCCTTGGCGTCCTTCTTAGCCTTCTTCGACGCCTTGCCTCCTTTGGAGATCCCCTTGGGCTTTCCAGCCGCGGAAGCGAGGGAGTCGGCTCGCCGCTTGGAGCCCTTGCCCTCCCTCGGTGCGGCGGCGGCGGCGGCGGCCCCGCTCGCCCCCCCCTCCGGCGGCGGCGCCCCCTCCCGCGCCGCCAGCTTGGCAGCGCCAGCCACACTCAGCACCTCTGCCCGCAGCTCCCGCGCGAGTGCATCGTCCTCCCCCTCGGCCGCGGTGCCGACCGCGCCGCCGGTGGCGGAGGAGCGGAGCGCCGCCAGCCGCGCGTCCAGCTCGGCCGCGCCCGCCCCCGCCCGCTCGCGGTCAAGCCGCTCCACGACGCTTCGGCTATACTCGCCGTCGGACCCGCCGCCGCCGCTCTCGCCGCCCGGTGCCGCCGCGCCGCCACCACCCTCGCCGCCGCCGGGAGCGCCTCCGCCCGCACCGGCCGAGGCGTCGGGTCCGGACGGTCCGCCGAGCGCGTGCACGATGAAGCGCTTCGCGGCGGACGCGTTGAGGCTCGCCTGCCGCTGACTCGCCTCCGCCTCCTGACTCGCGGCACGCACTTTGCGGATGTAGCCCTTGATGCGCTCGAGCTCGGCGAGGACGGGGTGGTTGGCGGAGGGAATGCCCTGCGTCTTGAGGTACATGTAAAAGAGGGTATTGATCGTGTAGGCCACCATCAGGTGCAGCCGCGCCGACTCGAGCGGCGGGAGGCCGCCGCAGAGCTCCGCCCACGGCGCACGCTGCAGGCGGCGCACGCGCTCCTCGATGTCGCCCAGCCCCCGCTCGAAATTTGCCACCGCAGACGCAACTTCTGCTGGGAGGAGGCTGGAGGGCGCAGTGGCCGGCGGCGCAGTGGCCGGCATCGTGCACGGCCTCGTTTTTCTCTTTTACGAGGTCCTGTTCCGGTAACAATTGACCCGCCATAAAAACGGTATGTCGGTGGAGTGCTCTCTACTCCCGCGGCGCCCCTGTCGGTTCGGAGGCGCCCGGCGGCCGCGCGCTTGGTGCCGACGTCGACCGGCTGCTCTCGCGGCGCCGAGACGTGCCGCTTTGGTCACGTCTCGCGCGCTGCGAGGTGTCTTTTGGCATGTGAGCGCTTGCCAAAGACGCCAGCAAGCTCGCCTTCCTTGCCTGCGGCCGCGGGCGTGCGGGCGGGCCCGCCAGGCTCGGCGAAGCTCGGCGCGGGTCTTCGAGCTCGCCGCCGGCGACGAGCCAGCATGGCTCGTCGCTCGACGGGAGCCTGTCCAGTATGCTCTGGGCATGCTGTACAGCATCGCCAACTCTCTGGGAGGGTCTACAGGGACAGGGCGGGCCGTCTCGGGCACGATGGCGCGCTCAATAGTACCACGACTACCAGCTCTCCGATCGGGCCGCCGACAGCGGGCTTGCGCAGCGCGCCGCTCGACGGCAGGCTGCTCCCCACCCTTCCAACAGCATCTGATGCCTCGCTTCTCTCGCTGCGACCGCATCCGGGGGCCTGCGCCGACCGCCTCGCTTCGCCAGCGCTGCCTATGACTGCGGCACGCACGTCGGCTCGCCGCCCGCGTCGCCCGCGGCGGGCCCGCATAGCACGCCGCTCGTCGGGGGAGTGCCAAGGAGGTTGAGGAGTACAGGCTGCCTCGCTCAGACCGCCGCCGACGCGGCGGGGGGCCGCGGTCGGCGCTGCTGCGGGGCTCCTGCGCTGTGGGCTTCACCATCGTGTCCTGACTGCGTCGCCGACGCCACCTGCCGCTCGCCGCTGCCTTGCACTTCCCTGCCGTCAGGCAAACACACACACACACACACACACACACACACACACACACACACACACACACACACACACACACACACACACACACACACACACACACACACACACACACACATTATTAATAATCGGGTAATAATTATTAATTATTAATCCTCGGGCGGCGGAGCGGCGCGGCGGCGGGCGGCGCGAGGCGGCGGCGCGGCGAGGCAGCGGGCGGCGCAGGGCGGGGCGGCGCGGCGGCGGGTGGGGTAATTAATTATTTGTTAATTAATTAATAATTAATAATCATCGGGCGGCAGCGCGGCTCGGCGGCGGGCGACGCGGAGCGGGGCGGCGCGACCATCTGCACTGACCTCGGCCTCTGGTCTTTGGAGCAGAGCAATGGTCGCGCCGCCCTCGACTCAAGGGGCTGCCTTCCAACCGTCGCTGCTCAGGCCGGGGGAGGGGGGGAGACCTCCTGTTCCTCGCGGGGAACGGGAGCAGGCCCCTCCTTGCCCGGTCTGCGATGCAGGGCGGTGGTCGTGCCATCTTCGCTTCGTACTCGAAACCACCACGCCGCAACCGTCGCCGGCGCGCGATACGTTCCCGTAGGCCGGACTGTCCTCGTCGAGAGTGTGTGCCGCCAAGGCGGGACACACTCAGGGGCAGTGCCGACGGGACGCGGCTTGAAGGGTGTGTGGCTCCGCAGCGCGGCTGGCACTCGTCGCAGAGGCCTCACCTTCGAAAAGTCGGGCATGGCTCTCCCCGCAACTTTCTCGCTAACACGCGCGCACCGCCGAGCCTGCGGCGGGCGCGCTGCGGCCGCACGTCTAACTTCGTCATAGTGCCACGACGTGCGGCCTAGATTTAGCCCACGCGCCTCTGCTCGCAAACACTCACCCATTGAATTGTCACTGCCCGTGAGTGCGAGATGGGGCTAGCAGTAGGCAGCTAGCCTCTGAGGAGGGCGTCCATAGACACCTCACAAGACCCCACACACGGTCTCGTCCGTGTCTCGCCGGCCGGCGAGATTGCTAGAGGCGGAGCGGTGTGCTCTAGTCTCACATGTTACTTCCTGTCGTCTGTTGTGATGTTGTGCCCTTGTTTGTTTCTCTCGGCACCTTGGAGTGCTGGGGGGGGCGACAGGAAGAATGTGGCCCTGAGTTATGTGTACGCCAACTCAGGGTGTGTGGCAGCCAGCTGGCTGTGTGTCTTGTGAGCTTGTTTGTGTCTGTGTGTCGCTCGTGCGTGCCGTTATCATCTGTCCCGCGTCCACCCATACCGCGCTGGTGTCCAGTCCGAGCCTGACTGTTCTTCACCTTTCTACCTAATTAATGTTGGTAGGGAGGTGATGAGGAGTCAATTATGCGCGGCGGGCGGTTAGCCGTTAGGGGCGAATCGTGGACACAGCCGGGAGGCGAAGCATTTGTTTAGCACTTCACGGGCACTGTTCACGCATTTGTTGCCCTAAGTGGAAATGCCGGCAACAAATGCTTCTGGCTGTTCCTCCCTACTAGCAGGTGCAAAAGCATGCCGCGCGCGACAGGGAAGCCGACGTGCTACGATAAGCCGCAAGTCAGCAGCATGTTTCGGCTGGCCATGAGGCGGGTCGCGCAGGAGAGGGCAGCGCGCAGTGCCGCTGTATAATTGGTCTTTGTTTCCTCTTACTAAAACCGAAGATTGCGGCGGCGGCCGCGGCGGCGGCGGGGGGGGGGGGGGAAGGGGGCTCTGCCGAAAATTCCTCCTGAGCTACCTACCTCGTGCAGAGACCGGAGAGAGCAGTCCGCAACCTCCGCCCACGTATGTCCCCCCCCCCCCCCCCGTGAGAGAGAGAGAGAGAGAGAAAACCAACAAGAAGAATCAGTAACCAGCCTCCGGCGGGGCCCCCCGCTACCATCCAAACCCGAGTACCGGTCTACTACTCGAGTATCATACACCGTAGATAGAGGCTCAAGTGTGACATAAGTCCACACACACATATTACACATACACAAAGCAACTCTCACGACACACGGGCACCGGGTGGAGCGGCGGCGGCGGCGGCAGCAGCACGCGCGGGCGGACGGATTCGGACGGGGCGGAGCAGCGACCGCCTGGGCGGCCGCTGCTCTGTCCAGGCGGCGCCGTCTGCCTGCGGGCAGCTCAAACGCGGTCAGGCGCGGGGAAGCGTGGCGGCGCGGGGCACGCGGCGGCGGTGGCGGCGGCGGCGGCAGCAGCAGCACGCGCGGGCGGACGGATTCGGACGGGGCGGAGCAGCGAACGCCTGGGCGGCCGCTGCTCTGTCTGCCAGAGCGCGCCGTCTGCCTGCGCAGCTCGAGCGCGGTCAGGTGCACAGGGAAGCGTGGCGGCGCGGGGACGCGCGGCGGCGGTGGCGAGCAGGCGAGCGGCCCGCGCGCGGCGAGGCGGACAGGTGATCGGCAGGCGGGTGATGGGCCGGAGAGTGACCGCGCCCAGCGATCGGAGGCGAGCCGATCGTCGCTCGGCCGCAGCTGACCTCGAAGGCGTGCGGAGCGCGACTGTCGGTGTCGGGGGGCGGCCGTCATGTGGCGAGGAGGGAGGACGACAAGTGCGCGTCGTACGGGTCGCTCTTCATCGGCCAGTCGAGCGGACGGTAGCGTCGGTCAAAGCAAAGAGGGCCGGTGAGGCCGGCGAGATTCGTTGCGAGATACGGTTCGCGCCCAAACAAGTTTGGACGCTCTGTCAGGCAATTGGAAAGGGGGCTACTGGGGCGGCCAAATTCACACCTCGCGGGACTACTTATGTTTTCGTAAACGTAGTCGTGGCCCCCCGCTACGTCGCACGAGTGCAACCGGGTAGCGGGGGGCTAAAATTTCTTCTCTCTCTCCCCGGTGTGTGCACAGGAAGATGGAGTTTTTAGAGAGATTTTATGACAACCAACGGAATTACTGTGTGATGTGTGTGCCCTTCCCGGGTGCAGCCTTTCGGTTCGTGATACGTGAAGGGTCGGTGCGAGTCGTGCTTTCCTCGATCCCCCGCCCTCCTCCGCCATCTCCGCCGCTTTGTTTGGCTCTCCAGCCTTACCACCATCGGGAGGCGGTGAGGCGAAATCAGACTCGGATCTCGGTCGAAAGACCCCAGATTGGCATCCATTCCATGCCTTTCTGGACAGGGTGGCCCGCCACAACGACCCCTGGAATTGCGACTCCGCTTTCCTCCCGCTGTGATTCTGATTCTCGGATGCGGGGAATCTCAGATTCTCGCTTTTCAGATGCATCTACACGCGCCCGCCCATGTTCATTCAAAAAGGAAAACTCATTCCCCCAGCGAAGGTCGTAGGCCCGCACCCCCGCTGCATTTGGCGAGCGCCACCTCCTATTGCCGACGATGAGGGCGCTGCGAGGTGGCAGCCCCGTCTATCCACGCCGGCGCTCAAGCCACCGTCCGCCCACGCGCTCGGCTGGCGCGTCACGCCGGTCGCCCACGCCCTGGGAGCCGAAATTGAGGGCGCCGACCTCTCTCACATCGGTGCCACCGAGTTTGCGGCGGTCCGCGAGGCGCTCCTTCAGTACGAGGTGATCTTCTTCCGCGATCAGGCGTCCTTCGACGCCACCTTGTCTCCGCCATCCTTGCCGAGCGCGTTCAGCTGGGTCGCGTCGCAGGCGACGAGGGTTCCTGCTCACGGGCGGGCGAGGTGAGAGGACGTGTCGACCGGGTCCGCACCCGCGGGCGGACGGAGCTCACCGGGGAACTCCTTGCTGCCCGTCTCGACGCCCTCCTCGCACACCACGCAGCGCGCCTTGCCGATGCTGCCGATCTGCCCGCTCGCGAAAGGGTTGCACCACATGGGCTTAAGCTCGCCGTTGACGCCGCAGCAGTCCCACACGTGGCAGGACGCGCCCTCCGCGCGGCAGAGCTTGGCCTTGTCCCCGACCTGCGCGTACGCCTCGCTGTCGAAGGAGGGGTTCGCGGCGCCGAGCCCCTCGAGCATCGGGAGCAGGTTGAAGGCCTGCTCCCAGCCGTCGGTGAACATGCAGCGCCGGTTCATGTCGTAGTCGACCGAGCCGCACGACTTCTTCGCGAACTCCTGCACCTTGCCAACGAGGCCGGCCGGCCGCTCCCCTGGCCCGACCCAGTGCCACCCGTCGGAGAACGGGTTGTGATTCACCGCCTCGAAGCCGTTGCACGCCATGCCGAGCAGGTCCGGCCGGGCGAACCCGTCCTTGTACTGGCTGCTGACGAAGCTGCATATGCCGCCCACCTGCAGCCAGCCCAGCAGAAGAGGGGGGGGGGGGGGGGGGGGGCGTTGCGAGCTGCTTGCTGCAGGACGCGCGAGGGGCGGATGCGCGAGAGTCTGAGCTGAGGCTGCGACCGCGAGGGGCGTGTTGCGCCGCGCTTCCACAGTTCCACACACCTGGAGGTCGTCGAGTTTGATGTCTCCGCCGCACGAGAGGGGCCGCCTGTGGACATGTCGCGGGCATGTCGTGGACACGTGTCCTGGACGTGTCTCCGCCGCACGAGAGAGGGGCCGCCCGAGGCCGCCCACCAGCGCCTCGAGGTCCTTCTCCTTGAGAGAGAGGTCGTCGAACCAGAGCGAGCCGTGGCCGGTGACGGTGATCGGGCCGCTGCACAAGTGCACGCCGAGGGCGTTGTAGGTCGAGTACGCGTACTGAACTTCGAACTCGATGTCGCTCACCTGTGGGAGCACGATGCGGGCACCCTCTGTTGCTTGGCTAGGGCCAACTCACAGCGAAACCAAGACCCCGGCCCCTCTCTCACCTCGACGCGGATCGCATCCGGGAAGAAGCGCTCGCGCAGCGTCCCCTTGGCCTTGAACCTGGCGGCGGCCTTGGCAGCGAGGCCGTCTTGCTTCCACCCCGCGTGCCACTCCTTGAAGTCCTGGTACGCGCCGTCGCTCGCGCCCACCGCCCCTCCGAGCGAGCCGAGCACGCTGTCGCCGAGCGCGTCCGCCTTGTTGCGGACGCTCTTCGCGAGCTTGTGGTAGGCGTCGAGCGAGTCGAGCCACAGCGCGCCAGCCTTGCGGCCCTCGTACAGACAGCCGACCAGCTTGACCGACCCCACCTGCGAGCGAGGCAGGGGGGCGGGGGCGGTCTCGCCGCTCTTCCAACGCCTCCCAATCCGCAATCGAGAGCGCGGCGCGGGGACGGCAGCGCGGGGCGCTCCAGGCGGCGCGGGGGGGAGATGCGCCTTTAGCTTCCTGTAGCTCATGTTGAAGCGGTAGGTGTCGGTCGGGATGAGTCCGAGCATGTGCTGCTTCTCGGCGCCGGGGTCGGGCGGCGTCGGCAGCTTGAGCTCGGTCGTGAGGTAGTCCTGCAGCTTTGCGGTGGCGACGCCCTCGTAAAACTTGGGCAGCCTCTTGCAGTTCACCTAGCAGTAGCAGCAAGCAACCTCAGTTCCAAAGAGCCACCCCCCCCCGCGCGCTCCCTATCCACGCCCAAGCGACTTAGCACAGGTGGAGGCACAGGTAGGTGGAGGCGCGGCCTGATGCAATGACAACTCACCTTGCGGTCGTCGGAGGGCGCCGTCGGAGGAGGAGGAGGGGAAGGCGGAGGCGTGGGCGTCCTTGGGCAGCAGCGCCGGTGGCACCCCTCGACCGGCTCGCGGACGCCTCTCCCGCTGAGGGGCGCCATCTCGACGAACCCGGCCGCGCACCCCATGAACAAACAGCTCGTCTCATCGACGCACCCGCCGCCGGGCGGCTGGGGAGGCGGCGTCGGCGGGAGTGGCGGCGGCGGCGATGGAGGAGGGGGAGGCGGCGGCGGCGGCGGCGGCGGCGGCGGAGGTGGCGGCGGCGGCGGCGGCGGCGGCGGCGGCGGCAGCGGAGGCGCGGGCGGAGGAGGAGGAGGCGCGGGCGGCGGCGCCGGCTCAGATTGGCAGCACCGCTTGAAGCACAAGCTGCGCGCGGCCGCTCCGGACCATCGCTGCTCGTAGCCATCCTTACAGCCGTAGAAGCAATTCTCCTCGTCGTAGCAGCGCGGCGCCAAGGCGTCGTCGAAAAACCCACGGGCGAGGACCTCGTCATCAGAGGAGCTGCCCAGCCGCGAGCTCGATTGGTTGCGGTGGACGCAGAGCGCGAGCGCCGCGAGCGTCGCCGCCGCCAACGAGACGACGATCGCCCGCCCACGCGGGCGCACCGCCTCGGCCGGGGTCGGAAGACTCGTGATCATCGAGCTAGGGACCTACAGGGAACAAGAGGGGCGCCGCCTTGTGACAAGGATTCTGTCGGTGGAGACTTGTTCACATAAGAGGGCTCCCGCGGCGATCAACACCGCAACTCCTTTTCTAAATTTCACCACTCTTCTTACGCGCGACGACGCTACAGCCTCCACCAAACCTCACACTTTTACTCACCCTCGGACATGCTTGCACCGTCATCCTGCGCGTCTGATGCGTCGCGCATCTGCTCGTCACCCTCTCCGCCGTTGGGACGGTCGTTGCTCGCGCCGTTGGGAAACGCAAGGCGCACCTTTTTGTTTTGAAGACCTCGATACTTAGCGCACTGCTCGGGCGAGAGCTCAAACACGTGCCGCGTCTCGTCTTCGCCGCCGGCTACGCGCACAGACACAGTACGCGGCAGCGCCAAAACGTCAACCCGCGTGTACGTCAGCGACGGGTCCCGCACGCCGCACGAGGCGCATGCGTGCAGCGGCAGCGCGTGCGCCATGCGCTCGTCGCTCCACTCGCCCAGCAGCCGCCGCTTCGTCTCGTCGGAGACGTGCACGCAGCGCTGCAGCAGCGCCGCCGTCTCGTCCTCGGGCCGCTCCAGGTCCATGACGACGTTCGTCGAGGCGTGGAAGCGCGTCTCCAGGTCGATGGCCGCCTGCTCGGCCGCGGCGAGCTTGCTCTGGTCGACGCACATGCCGCACACCGCGTGCGCCGGGCAGCCGCACTGGCCGCGTTGTGGGCGCACGGTCTTGGCGACCGCCGGCGCTGCGCGCCGGTCGTGCTGCTCACGCTGCCGGCGGCGCTGGTCGCGCGCCTGCCGATCGCGCGTGTTCGCGGCGGCTGCATCTCCTGCTCGTTTCGCTCGCACCCGAGCGGCTGTCGCCAGGCGCTTCAGGTCGGCGGTGCTGCGCGCGCGGCCGTCGGCCAGGCACAGCCACATGTCCTCCTCCTCGGCAGGCTCGCACGGCTTGCCGTCGAACTGCGGCTGGCGCCCGCGACGATGCTTCGCCCAGGCCGGGCACGATGGTGCCGCGACGAGCGGCGTCGAGGCGACGGCCATCGATGGGTCCAGAAGACTTGGAGACACTTCTCGACCAAAAAATCAAAAAAATCGAGCACAATTGCGTTACATGGGCATGGCCGGGGTTTCTGCACCGAACGATCTTACTTTCGGTCTATCGAAAGTGTTGATCGATAAACGCACAACTCCGGACCCAAGACGCACAAGCACAGACTTGTTCACACCGGTATGCCTTGCTCCTTTAGGTGCTTTTAATACGTTCTGATTCTTGTGCTGATACTTGCGTCCGAGACTGCTTGTGTTAGGCCTGTGGGTTTTCTTTTGCCCTCGGTGTCCTGCTCGGTGCGAGTTGTTCCCCCTTTGTTGGACCTCTAGTTGTTCCCCTTACAGCAGTGGCGGTCCGCTCACTGCGGTTTCTCTTGCTGCCGGCAGTCCGTCGACAGATTCCCATCCCCAGGGCCTCCAGGGCTCGCACCTCAACCTCTCATAGACCCAGCGCGCTGCGCCGTAAGCAGGCATTAATTTTCTTCTCAACAACAAACAACACAACAAGGTCTGTGAACTCAACTTGTTGTTTCTTATAACCTTTCTGAGAGAGATTTTTATTTAGCAATACCACATTGTTTTTCTGTTTGCCTTTCTGAGTTTGTTTGTTCCTTTCTGTCATGGACTGGTCCTGTTCCAACATCCGATCTTTCCATTTCTTTCTTGTGAAAGGCTCGAGGAGAACTTGTTGTTTGGGAGAGAGAGAGTTGTTGTTTGTTTGGAGGGTTTGGAGTTCATGCAGGCGCATGCTCCATGCTAGCACCGTACGCATTAAAGGTGTTTTTTGTGTTTGAAGATTGAACGCGTCCCCTGGGGGTGTCCAGTCACTTGTCGGATTGTTCTTCATCATTCTGTCCTCGGTCCCCTCATCTCTTCGCGGGGGGCGGTGGGGGCGGTGGGCGTCCCCCCTCCCTCCCACCACCCCTGCCGGCCTCCTCCGTTCTCGCCCCACCTCCCACACACCACCACCGACCTCCCCGCTCTCGGCTCTCGCGGGGGAGAGTGCAATAACTTCTCCGCGAAGAGCGAAGTTCAACTTGTGGGTTTCACTGGGTCCTAGCGGGAGGCTATAAAATGAGGAAAGCAGAGTTTTCCCCTTCCCCGCCGCACCCCAACCACACGCGTGGGGTCCCGGTGGCGCGCCGTCTCCTCCCTCCTCTTCCCCAAGCCCCGGAAGCCCCAACAGTGCGCTCTCTGCGCGCGCAACTCGTGCTGCCACCTCACCGTGTGGGGTCCCGACCCGTCCCTGTCCACCGCCCCTGCAGCCGAGCGGCGAGCGGCAAGCCACTCTCTGGCGGGGTGGGGCAGGGTCGGGGGGCGGGGCAGGGTCGGGGGGGACATTTTACCGGGGGGGGGGGGTGGATGCACGCCGGCTAGTGCAGCCCAAAGGCGGCCGACATCACCTTGGTCAGCTGGCCGAGCTGCAGGGCGCCACCGCCCTCCTCGGCGGCCTTGCGCGGCTTGGCCTGGTTGTCGTCGTTGAGCGCGACCTGCACCAGCTCGCCCTCGACCCTCCAGCCCCGCGCCTCCACCAGCTTCGCCGCCGCCGCCGCGTCGAGCCCGAGCGACGCAGTCACGTGCGCGGCCGGGATGGCCTGGTAAGTCAGCCCGAGCGTGTGCACGACGAAGTCGCGGAGCGCGTCGGCCACGCCGGGGATGTGCTGCAGCAGCGGCTCCTGCAGCGGCTCCAGCGCCGCCCACACGCCGCGGAACTGGCACGTCTCGAGCAGCGCGGCGACGGCGGCGACCTGCGCGAGGAGCTCCTCCTCCTGCACCCGCTCCGGGATGAGGTACGTGCACATCAGGTAGTCCGACGCGGGCAGCCGCGTCAACGCCTTCACGAGCACACGGCCGACCACCGCCGAGTCGCTCTTCTCCGGGTGGAACTGGTAGAGCTTGAGGAGGGCGAGGTTATTGTCGAGGTCATATGTGCCGTCGGCGCACTGCTGCCGCACGTTGGCCTCGAGGGCCGGCACGCGCGCGACGTCGTACGCGCTGGCGGCCATCGCTTCCCTCCTCCGCAACGACTACGGGCTCGGGGCGCAGCACAGCCTGGCGAGTAAAAAACACCCGGGCCCACACGGGTGGGACAGGGTCCTGTGTGGTGGCGGCGTGCCGTCCTCCCATCCCTCCCTTGGGCGGCTGTTTTCTTTCTTTCTTTTTTGGGACAGGGTGGGTCACGAACGAAGCTCGCCTCCTGCTCGCCTCCTACTCGCCTCCTACAAGCTGTACTCGCCCTTCGACTCGCCTCCTATACTCGCCTCCTACTCGCCTCCTACTCGCCTCCTACTCGCCTCCTACTCGCCCTTCTACTCGCCTCCTACTCCCCTCCTACTCGCCTCCTACTCGCCCTCCTACTCGCCCTCCTACTCGCCCTCCTACTCGCCCTCCTAACTCGCCCTACTACTCGCCTCCTTACTCGCCACGGCGACTGGGAGAAGCGGTGCCAGCCGAACAAGGTCGAGGCCTTTGCTGGCCAGCGCGTCGTCGCCGTGTCGGGTGGAGGATACCACAGCCTGGCCCTCGCCGCTAACGGCGACGTCTGGAGCTGGGGCTTGGGAAGCTCTGGCAGGCTGGGACACGGCGACGAGCAGACCCAGCCGCTGCCAAAGAAGATCGAGGCCTTTGCTGGCCAGCGCGTCGTCTTCGTGTCGGCGGGAACATACCACAGCCTCGCCATCACCGCCGACGGCGCCGTCTTTACCTGGGGCAAGGGTGAACGCGGCTGCCTAGGCCACGGAGAGGACCTGTCGTACCAGCTGCTGCCAAAGAAGATGGGTGCGGAAGTGAAAGCAGAAAGGTCACGACAGGCTTTGTGTACGGTGCTTGAGACACTTGTGCGCGTACGGCTTTCACCCGTATTTGCCAAATAGTATTTGGCGCCCGGGTTTCAGCGGCACAAAAAAGTTGTACGGCGCGGTGTAGTGGCACAGGCGCTCTGTTGTATTTTTTGCCACGCCGCACGCGCGCGACGCGCGGCAACCCCTGCGCGCACATCATAGGGGTGTGGGAGGTGTAAATAAATAAATAAAACGGACACCTCTATACTGTGAGATGGGTAAAAAGGAACAGGTCCCCGCCCTTGCGATCTTTTGTGCAGGGTTCTTACTCTAGGTGATCTAGCCTTTGTGCATTTTCGTGTGGGTGTGGTCGTGGGAGGTGTGTGCGCTTTTACGCCGCTTAGTGTGGGGAAAGTGTTGTAGATAGGGCGCGCGCGGATGCGGCGAGGCGCCTGGAGCGCGAGCCATATCACCAGACACCACACACGCACGGCAGACCGGGACGCATGGCGGGGTCTTCCGATGCAAGAACCCCCTCACCTCAGCGGCAGCTCAGCGGCGTGGGCTGCGGCGGCCTCGCTCGCCGCTGCCGCCGCGCTCGCCGCTGCCGCTGCGGCGGCCGCTGCTGCTGTAGCTGTAGGAGTACGACGAAGCCGACGACGAGGGCGAGCGGCGGCCGCGGCTCCGCCCCCGCCGGCGCGGGGACGGGGAGCGCGAATACGACCTGCCCCCGCCCCTGCCGCCCCTGCCTCCTCGGTCGCCGCGGTCGGGGCTGCGGCCACGCCGCTCGCCGCGCCGCTCGCCGCGCCGCTCCGCCTCCCCTCGCCGCCCCTCCTCGCCATGCCTCTCCATCTCGCCGCGCCCGCGCGGCGGAGGCGGCGGCGGCGGCGGAGGCCGCCGGCTCGCCGCGGCCGCCTCTTTCTCCCTCGCTGCCGCCTCGGCCGCCGCTTTTTGCTCCTTGGCCGCCGCCTTTGCCGCCGCCTTTGCCTCCGCCTTCGCCGCCGCCTCGGCCGCCTCCTCCTCGGCAATCAGCTCGTTGAGGTCCTCCTCGAGAGCCGACCGGCGCGGGCCAGTGAGCAGGCCTGCAGCAGTCACTCGCAGCAGTCACAGCAGTGAGTCACCGACAGCAGCACTGACTACAGCACTGACAGCAGCACTGACAGCAGCACTGACTGCAGCACTGACTGCAGCACTGACTGCAGCACTGACTGCAGCACTGACAGCAGCACTGACTGCAGCACTGACTGCAGCACTGACAGCAGCACTGACTGCAGCACTGACAGCAGCACTGACTGCAGCACTGACAGCAGCACTGACTGCAGCACTGACTGCAGCACTGAATGCAGCACTGACTCACCGCACTCACTCACCGCAGAGCCGAGATGTCTCCGAGAGATCTCCGAGAGATCTCCGACAGGTCTCCGACAGGTCCCCGAGATGCCTCCGAGATGCCTCCGAGATCTGGCCTGGGCCATCTACGGCGCGCGGGCCGGAGGCGACCAGCGTGTGCCGCTTCGGCAAGTGCGGCAGAGCGAGGTCGAAGACATACTCGTCGCGCAGCAGCTCGTCGACCTACGTGGAGATACGGGGAGATATGCTCGAGATATGGGCGAGATTGCATCTTACTCGTCGGCCGGGAATACGCCGACATCCGGCCGGGAGACGGTATCGTGCAGACCATTCAGAGCACCGCGTGAAGACGAGGGGTACGAAGACAGTGCAACACAGCGGAATACGGTCGAAGACAGCTGAGTACGTGTCCCCTCGAGCGCGGGTTGAGATCCATGAATCCGTCTTCCGCCTCTAGACTCGTTTGCCAGCTCGTCGACGTGAACGAGGCAGTACTCGCCCGACGCGAGGCTGCGACGCCAAGGGGTCAGGGGTGTGAATGCACACGTGTGCCTACCCCCCCCCCCCCCTCTCCCTTCCCCTTCTCTCTCTCTCTGACTACGCCAACGTCGGGGGTGTGAAGACAACGGCCACGAAGACGACGAGAACCAGCGAAGCACTGCTGAGTGCACCGGACTACGCGTACCCTCTCGAGTGTCCGTCGGAACCATCTCTCCGCCCTCCGCTTCTAGGGAGGGCGCGCGCCGGCGGCGCAACTTGCGGTAGTCGTTGTAGAGCGGCTCGAGGTACTGAAACACCTCGGCAGGCCGGCCTATGCCGCACTCATTGCGAGTTGGGCGCCGGGGTTTGGTAGGTTGCCGGCGCACCTCGGCAGGGCGGCCGGTGAGGCGGAGGTAAAAGGCGCCGAGGGCGCGCACGTACCTGGCAGCAAGAAGGGGGGGGGGGGGACGGAGGAGGGGGGGTTGCCGGTGGGGCTGGGGCAGAAGCTGGGGCAGGAGGCGTGACGCTGTGGCCCGCGCACTTGTAGTCCTCATTCTTGATAAACTCGAGCACAATCTCCTTTTCGGGCTGGATCTGCAGCATCTTGAGAGTGAGCTGGATGAAGTGCGACGGCTCGCGGATCCCGCCGAAGGTCCCGCCTGGGCGAGTAGCGAGGGGGCGCGGCGTCGGAGGCGGGCGGGCGGCGGGCGGCGGCGGTGGGCGGCCGCGTGCTGTCACTGTGCGGCGGCGCGGCGGCTGTGGAAGCTGCGCGCGAGCGGATGGGCGCGCGCGAGGGGGGGGGGGCGTAGCGGAACGCGCCGACAGTGTCGAGCTCCATCGCCTTGTCGACGAGCGATTCGGCGGTGAGGCCGAAGCAGTGTTCCTTCCAGTACGCGTGGTTGTAAATCTTGGAGCGCAGGATCTTCTCGACCAGGTTCTGCGGGTTCGTGCCGTGCACCGATATGGCGGTCGTGTCCGTGACGTTGGCGCTATTCTTGCCCCACATAGCACACGCAAGCACTGCACTCGCTTGCGCGCCGCGCCGGGTTGCCAGCGGCTCTCGTTTTCCTCTGTTTTCTTTTTTGTCTGCGGTCGTCCGCGCTTTGCCGGTTGTGTGAATCGTGCGTGTGCGAGAGAGGTTTGTTGTAAAATTCTTTTGTCTGGGTTTTAGGTTTGTTGTTGGCAAGTCTTTTGTCTGGGGGGTTGCCAGTGCAAAGAAGAATTTTTAGACCCCAAGTGCTCCAAGACACTCGCACGACACTACGCCTACTCCGGGTGTGTGGCAGCCCGCTGGCTGTGTGTCTTGTGAGCCTGTTTGTGTCTGTGTGTCGCTCGTGCGTGCCGTCATCATCTGTCCAGCGTCCACCCATACCGCGTTGGGAGAGACTTCTTCTCTCTTCTTCTTCTCCGCGTTGGTGTCCAGTCCGAGCCTGGCTGTTCTTCACCTTACTACATACATACATACTAGGCACGGGACTGGCGCGCACTGGCACTAACACAAAGAAGAATTTTACAACAAAACTCCCTCGTGCAAAGAAGAATTTTAAAATCCGCCATCAGATCCGTCTGGGGTCTGGTGGGGACGTGTCTGTCCTCGACCCAGCCCTAGCTTGGGATGTCCGTTTTATTTTATGTTTAGATCCGTTGATGACAACACTTGTCTACTCGCTGGAGCCGAGCAGGAGGGCCTGGCGCACAACCCCTGTGCAACTCTCAGGCTCTGGGGGGGCGCGGTGGCCCCCGGAGGCACCGTGCGCCGCGCCGCAGTGCGGAAACGGGGCCCCGGCGCTCATACTCGCTCATACTACCGCCTTCCCGAATGATCACGGTTGATCAGAGGGCAGATTTGGAGAGATCTCGAGGAGTACATACAGATAGGCCCTCCAAGCATCAGAAAACTCCAGCCTGATCGGTCGTACTGACCGCCGACAGATCACTCCAGACAGCAGACAGGCCGACGTCTGCACGCACGCGGCCGGCCGGGCGAGAGGCTTGACACGATCCGTCCCTGCGACCCTGACGCTGCTGCTCTAGCTATCAGACATGCACTGCTGACTGCTGCCACAATGTGCGACCTGTGCTGACCCACTTGGCGGCCTTCCCGGTCAGTGGTGAGGCGCAGTTCAGAGCTGTCGACGGCGCGATGCCGCACTGGTCCCACATTGGTGACACTAGACCACCAAGTTTGACGGTCCAAGAGAGAGGCACCGGCGCTGTCCTGAGAAGGTGCGTGGTCCCTCTTGACTGCCCATGCGCGCGAGGCTGTGTAGGCATAGCCTCGAGAGTGCCAGCAGCCAATCCGAGGCAGTTTGTGACGCGCATATTGCGTCAGAAGCGTGCACGCGCTGGAAGGACACCTTCCTACTGGCCGTACGATCAGGTCGTCACTGAATGCTTGATACTAAGGCCGCGAGCTATGCAGGTGACCAATTGTGCAGCATGGCACGGTCAGCAGCGCCGAAAGGATGTCGCAAGGCGTGATAGCATGGCCGCAAGTACGCCGAAAATTCCCATGAAAATACGGATCGCTCCTCATCGCAAACCCTGTCAGCAGTTCACCTACGGGTATGTTCGTAAGAGCTACATACACAAAAAAATGGGTGAGAACGGAGTTCTCTGGGTAAGCTCAGCTGTGAACTTCCCAGTTGTTTGCTCTTGCTTGCGCGTGGCCCTTGCGTGCACGCCCAAGCTCGAGCGGCATCACGCAGAGCGAGCTCTGCGCAGGTCCCGCGACCGTCTCGGGCAGGAGCCCACCTCTCCTTCCCTCCGTGCGCCCAACGATATGGGCAAATCCGCGCCGAAGCGCGCTTCCGACGCTGACCAAGACGAACGGCCCGCAGAGGCCAAAGATGACTCTGGGCAGGAGCGCCCCCCCTCGGGGGCTGGCGGGGGCACCGACGGGGCCCCAGCCGCGCCTCCCGCTCCCGTGGACTCGGCCGAGGAGCTGCGGGTGCTTCGCAAGCAGCTCGAGCGGCTCGAGGCTCAAGCCGCACAGACCGCCGCACAGCCCGACGGGGGAGACCCCCCACCGGGCGGCGGCGGCGGCGGCGGCGACGGCGGCGGAGCGGGCGGCACAAGGCGGCCAAGGACCGCGAGCGGGTGCGCCCCGACCCTCCCACCCCCCCAGACTCCGACGCCGACTCGTCGGAGGACGACGTGGGCGGCGGTGGTCACCGCGGCCCCCCCCGCCTCGGCGGCGGCGTCGGTCGCGACGATGCTGTCGGCGAGCTGTTCGGCGGACACGTGCTCGCCTGCGACTACGACAGCGACAACCCCTTCGAGCGGAAGCGGGGACTGCAGCAGCGGACCTCGCACTACTCGCCAGCGGCGGCGGGCGACACCGTGCACGCAGAGCTGCACCGCAAGCTCGGGGCCGCAAACCAACGAGAGGTGTGCACCCTCCTTCCCTCCCTCTCGTACATGTACGACTTGTGCGCGCACCTCGAGCGGCTCGAAGACGCGATCGGCGACCAACACATCTCGCTTGTGTGCCGCACCAGCTCTCATGTCGGCCTCAGTGCCGCACTGCTCACTCCGTGCACTCACCGGTCGGTACCATGTCAGGAGACGGAACACGGAGGAGCTGTATAGGTCACTAGAGACCCACACCATCGCTACATCACCACAGCCACCAAGTCGGATACAAGTCGGATACAAGTCGATGACAATGTGCGCGGCAGGAGAAACCCGACGGCACGACAATGTGCGCGGCAGGACAAACCAAACATGAGACACGGTTACACAAGGACGGTCAGGCTAGGTCAAACTTCACAGCAAAGAAAAGAATTTTACGCGCCGGCGCAGGCGCGTGACGCACGCCGGATGGCCTCCCACCGCATCGGCGCGCGCGTCGCGGGCCTCTCGCCAGAGCAGCTGTGCGCCATCATCGAGGCGCAGGCGGGCGCGAGCGACGCCGCGCTGCGTGTGGCGGACGAGCACGCCACACGGCTCGTGGAGCAGCCCGAGTGGGTGCTCTCCGAGGTCCTCCTCTCGCCGGACCTCGCCCCGCACATCCTCGCCCAGCTGCCGACTACGGCGCACGCCGTCAAGGGGACGTGCCGCGCGTGGCGCCGCGGCTGGAAGGAGACGCTGAAGAAGCGCGAGAGGCCGCGCGTGCTCGTGATCGGCGGCCGCGATGAGGACGACAATAACCTCGCCTCGCTGGAGCGGTACGACCCGTCAACGAATGAGTGGGAGGAGGAGACTGTGGCGCCGATGCCTTCGGCACGAAAGTTTGTCGGCACGGCGATGCTCGACGACAAGCTGTACGTGGTGGGCGGCCAGGGCGAGGATGGCGCAACTTCCAGCTCGGTGGAGCGGTACGACTTTGCTGCGAACGTATGGGAGGCTGTGACGCCGATGGCGACACCACACGAGGCTCACGCCGTGGCGGTGCTCGACGGCAAGCTGTACGCTGTGGGCGGCCTCGATGACGATGGCTTCCTCAGCTCAGTCGAGCGGTACGACCCGGCTGCCAATGCATGGGAGGCGGTGGCGCCGATGTCGACGGAGCGGAGCGAACATGGCGTGGCGGTGCTCGACGGCAAGCTGTACGCTGTGGGCGGCTTGAACGACGACGATGGCACCGCCCTCAGCTCGGTGGAGCGGTACGACCCGGCGCTGGATGCGTGGGAGGCGGTGGCGCCGATGGCGACGGCGCGCATTAATCACGCCTTGGCGGTGCTCGATAACAAGCTGTACGCGGCAGGCGGCATCAACGATGACGGCTTCCTCAGCTCAGTCGAGCGCTACGACCCCGCGACGAACGCGTGGGAGGCGGTGGCGCCGATGGCGGAGGAGCGGTATGATCACGCCTTGGCGGTGCTAGACGGCAAGCTGTACGCCGTGGGAGGCGTGAACTACGACGACGGCCACACTCGCCTCAGCTCGGTGGAGCGGTACGACCCAGCGTTGGATGCGTGGGAGGCGGTGGCACTGATGGGGACGGCGCGGGTGAAGGCTTTCGCTGTCTTGATGTAGTCGCCGTTGTCTGTTGCGTGCTAGCCCCACGGCGTGGAGTGTGCGGAACAAGTCCTTCGCGCACACCTGACTCCTGAGTGTGCTGCGCTAATTTCTCAGTGGGGTTTTGACATAGTCGATAGTGACCGGCACCGGGCACCGCGCACCGTGGACGGACAAGCTTGCCTTTTGGTGAGAGCATTTGTGTGCTCGCTGTGTGAAACGGGCCATCGCTCTCTGACGCCTCGGCGCAAGTCTTCGGTGTGCTCGTGGTTTCTCCTGATGTGTCGGTGTCGTCGAGTGAGACTGAGAGCGCGATAGCCGCGGAGAGTAGAGTGACACCTAGCGAGGGGCAGACCTCTCGATGATGGACGAGCCATGGCGCCAGCCAGGCGGCAGGCGAGTTCACACGATCCCAATATATCAAACGCGCCATTTTAGCGCGCCAGCACGACTTATACGTCAATTACGCCACCCACGATAACACTTTCGATGTTTGTGAGTGTTCCGACGGGCGTTGATCGAATCCCTTGTGCGACAAATCACGACTCCCACCGAGCCGCGCCGCGCGGCTCACTGCCAGTGTCCGTCACTCGCTACCACCGACACCCGTGCGTGTGTCTCACTAGAGAGGTGAGATGGCGTCGACATCTTGAAACGGATTCGTGCACGCAACAACCCCACGCAAGGACGGGCCGCCAACAGGCGAGTCACCGACAGCTCAGTGCTCACGAACGGCCCTCCACACTCCACACTCGAGCCGTGTCGACTCGAGTGAACGTCTCTTGCAACAAGCTACCACCCAGCGCCGGGTGCGCCAGCGTGGCTGTACCCGTGGCAGTACCCGTGGCCATACCCGGCCGGCGCCACGCCCCCGTACCCGCCTCCCCCCACGTCGTACCCGCCCGTGGGCAGCGGCGCGTACCCCGCGACCGCCGCAGCGCCGTAGCCGGCCGCAGCGAGCGCGTGCTGCGCGTGCTGCGAGTGCTGCGAGGGCGGCGGCGTGGCTGCGACGTAGCCCGCTGTGTGACCTACGGATACGGCAGGGTGTGTGTATCTCTCTCCAAGGCAGGGTGACCTCCTCCACACACACGAGGTGGTCGGGCAAGGGCCAGGCGACCCTCGCGTCTCCACGTCTAGACGACAGGAGCCCCGGGGCATTCAAAGTGCAAGGTTCGGTGCGTATGGGTGAACAGTGTGTGTGTGTGTGTGGCATGGAGAGATATGGGGAGATATGGGGAGGTATGGGGAGGTAGGGGCTCGCCTCGTCGTCCAGCTGGCGCCTACCAAAAAAAGAAACACGAGTCGAGAAAAGAAGTGGGCCCAGGGGCGTCATGCTCGCTCGCTCGCCGCGTCTTGTCCAGCGCAGTACGAGTGCGCTGGAGCTCCGCCTCCGCCTCCTTCTGCTGCTGCTGCTGCTGCTGCTGCTGCTGCCGCCGCTGCTGCTGCTGGCGGCGCTGCCTCTCCTCCTCCGCTAGCTGCTGCGCCTCCGCTAGCTGCTGCGCCTGGGCCTACGGAAGCGAGAAGGGCGTCGCAAGGCAAAATAAGAAGTGGGTGTCCCCCGGCTCGCGCCTGCGCGTGGGCCTGCGCGTGCGCGTGGGCCTGCGGCTGCGGCTGCCGCTGCTGCGTCGGCGGCTGCCACTGAAGCTGCTGCAACTGCTGCTGCTGCTGCTGCTGCTGCCGCTGCAGCTGCTGCTGCTGCAGCTGCTGGCGGGGAGGCAGACTCGGTCGAGCGAAGGTCTGCGCCGGCGGGAGAGGGGCCGGCCGCGGTGGCGGCGGCGGCGGGAGCAACGGGAACGGCGAAGCCCGTGGCACTGCGCCGCCCGGCAGCGGCACCGCCTGCTCGGGCGCGGACTGTGATTCTTTTTCTGGCGGCCTTGTAGCGCCTGTAGCACACCCGCTGCTAGCCGGCTCATCTGGCGGCCGGACTTGGCGTGTCGTGTCTCCCCTACCCGCTTTCCGCGAATGCCTCCTCCGCCCATCCCTCTCTCTCTACTCCTCTCCTCGTCCCTCCCTCCCTCTCCTCACCCGCCCCTCCTCTCTACTCCTCCGCCCATCCCTCGCTCTCCTCCTCCTCCCTCACCCATGCCCATCCTCTACCTACTCCTTGGCCGCACCCGCGCGACGCCCGGCCGAGGAAGCGCCGGGCCGCCCTGCAGCTCACCTAGACAAAGAGGCACACGCGGCCGTCAGAAAAAAGAAATGCGCAGCGCGAGCCGCGGGCCGGCTAGCCTGGAAGAGGAACAGGGGGCGGAAGCGGCACCTGCGGCAGCAGAGACAGAGGCGAGCGCGGTGAGCAGACGCGGCTCACGAGGAGGAGATGCGTACTGCATGGCCATGCTAGGAACTGCTGCATGTCCACTGCGCTGCGCAGCAGCAGCATTCCTCTCGCTGCTGTCTCGCACTGTAGCGGCGCAGGACGCGACAGTGGCGCGGGCGGCGCGGCCGCAGGGCGCGAGCGCGCCGCCTCGCTGGGTGGGCCGGCGACGTGTCTCCGCCTCGCCCGCTCGGTTCGGCCGCGCTGGAGGACCGCCACCGCGCCTGAGCAACTCCACTCCCCAACGTGTGAGCAGGCACGGGCTCGGCGGCGCGCGTGTTGGCGGGGCAGAGAGGGCGGCGCCGGCGGCGACCCTCGTGTCGACCTCGCGATCCGCCCGAGATCGCGGGCCATCCTGCCGACCCCGCTTCTGCCCAGACGACACCTCCTCTGCCGGACGGTATGAGGGCGCGCGAGGGGCGGCGCCGCCGTGAGGAATCGGCCGCGGCGGCGCGTGCGAGAGGTGCGGTCGCGGGAAGAGTCCGACGCCGGGCGGCGCGTGCCCGTTCGGCGCGAAGCTCCGCGGAGGCAGCATGCCAGGCGGCGGCGGGCGGAGCGGCACGCCGTTCCCCGGCGTTCGTAGATGCGGCGGGACGTGGCCGCCGGCGCCGGGCAGCGGGCCAGCACCGGGCAGAGGCATGCCCGCAGCGTTGAAGTGAGGCAGGGACGGATAGGGTGGCGCTCCGCCGGGATGGATGATGGGCCTGGACGGGTGCATTTGGCGGACACAGGGGCGTGGGGGCGGGGCCGGGCAGTCGCGCCAGCCCGCACAAAAGAGCAACAAGGGACGTCGTTTTTCTTTTACTCAGTTGTCGTTGAAAATTCTTTACCACCAACTGGTCAACCGGACGGGCGTCACGTTGATTCGTCTCAGTCTCACGTGAATCCGTCCCTGTCTCACTCTCAGCGTCTCCATCGTGTCTCAATAGATCATCACTTCCGTCCCAGCCAGCAAGAGAGAGAGTGAGAGAGAGATCTGTCAGTGCTAGAGTCCTTGTTCCCAGCAATTGCCGGGGTCGACCTCCTCATACTCACACTGCATAATTGTGTAACTGGTCGCGCCGTCGTCGTTTAGCAGATTGCCTCCCTCGATCTTGCCGCCAAGGGCGGCAATCGCAGTAGCTGTCGGAGGGTCATCATTCCACAGGTCGCCGATGTGCGGCCCGTTGGCCTGGTTGTTGATGGTGGCGAGGTACACGGAAGTACCCGCCGTGCAAGTCACCTTGAGGCAGCCGAACCCGCAGCTGTATGGGTATTCAAGATACTCGTTGAACCACCCGCGGTAGCTAGCTCCCCCGATGCCTGCCTTGCGCACCATGCCGCGCGAAGCGGACTCGCCTGCTGAGGGGAACTGACCGGTTGGCACCTTGCAGAAAGCGTAGGCATTATTGGTGCTGAAGGTGCCCGTGCCGTGCGGGCAGAACTTTGCGGTCTCCGGAATGGGCGCGCTGTTCCAGTTCTGGTCTGTGACCGTGGCAGACGTGACATACTCCTCGGGGCCCGAGAGCGACACGTAGCATTGCGATGGGTCGTACGTCGGTGGAGACGGTGGAGACGGCGGCAGAGACGGAGAGGGTAATGGCAGCTGGCCGAGGCAGTCTTGCGTGCAATAGAGTATGGGGCAGTTAGGGGGATCATGATTGCAGTTGCTGTTACACCAGGTGTCGGTGTAGCCCTGGGCAATATAACCCGGGTCTCCGGTAGACACGCACTGCGTCGACGTCGGAGGCGGGGGCGACGGCGAGGTGGAGGGCGGCGGCGGCGACGGCGAGGTGGAGGGCGGCGGCGGCGACGGGGAGGTGGAGGGCGGCGGCGGCGACGGCGAGGTGGAGGGCGGCGGCGGCGACGGCGAGGTGGAGGGCGGCGGCGGCGACGGGGAGGTGGAGGGCGGCGGCGGCGACGGCGAGGTGGAGGGCGGCGGCGGCGACGGTGAGGTGGAGGGCGGCGGCGGCGACGGGGAGGTGGAGGGCGGCGGCGGTGACGGCGAGGTGGAGGGCGGCGGCGGGGACGGCGAGGTGGAGGGCGGCGGCGGGGACGGCGAGGTGGAGGGCGGCGGCGGCGACGGTGAGGTGGAGGGCGGCGGTGGCGACGGCGAGGTGGAGGGAGGCGGTGGCGATGGCGAGGTGGAGGGCGGCGGCGACGGTGAGGTGGAGGGCGGCGGCGACGGTGAGGTGGAGGGCGGCGGCGGCAACGGTGAGGTGGAGGGTGGCGGCGACGGCGACGTGGAGGGCGGCGGCGGCGACGGCGAGGTGGAGGGCGGCGGCGACGGCGAGGTGGAGGGCGGCGGCGGCGACGGCGACGTGGAGGGAGGCGGCGACGGCGACGTGGAGGGTGGCGGCGACGGCGAGGTGGAGGGTGGCGGCGGCGACGGTGAGGTGGAGGGCGGCGGCGACGGTGAGGTGGAGGGCGGCGGCGACGGCGAGGTGGAGGGAGGCGGCGGCGACGGCGAGGCGGAGGGCGGCGGCGACGGTGAGGTGGAGGGCGGCGGCGGCGACGGCAACGTGGAGGGTGGCGGCGACGGCGAGGTGGAGGGCGGCGGCGGCGACGGCGAGGTGGAGGGCGGCGGCGGCGACGGTGAGGTGGAGGGCGGCGGCGACGGCGAGGTGGAGGGCGGCGGCGGCGACGGTGAGGTGGATTGGACCAGACGCCGCCTTGCTGCGACTCGCAGCTGCACGGCGTTATCACCTTCATGTTTCAAGAGTTTGGCAGGGTGAGGGGGGTGAGGGGGGGTGAGGTTGCGCAAATCCCTCCAAAAGTCCCGTGGGTTCTACGCTACATAAAATAAACATGAAATTTTTATAATAACAATTGCAGCTCCCCACTCACCCCCAGTGGTTTTCTGAGGGATTTGCACAAACCTCACCCCCCCCTCACCCCCCTCACCCCACCCCCCCTCCCTAAGTAGAATGTTGGGTTGTATGAACGCTGGGCAACACGCGGGATGTGGCATCCCCGGGCGCCATCTGCGGCAGGCGCAGGAGTGCGTGGTGCACGCCCGGTGTTCGTAAAGCTTGCGGAACGCGGCGTGCACACGCTCGTCCGTGCTAATCTGCTTCGTTGCATCTTTAAGGAACACGCGAATGACGCCACGTTGTTCGGTGAAAGGGGCATCGAGAAACTTGACGGCGTCCCGCGTGTCCACGCTTGATCGATTCACACCGCGTCGCGAAGCGCAGTGAGGCCTGCCACATAGGGCTCGGGCATAGGCCGCGTCGACGCGAACTTGCATCGAATAGTAGCGACCATCGACACGCAGGTGTCCGCAGAGTAATGCTTGAGGCTCTTGCGCGTTTCAGATAGAGCCAAGTCAGTGTCGCCGCTGTCCATCATGGACATGATGCGCTCGTCTCGAGTCAGTTTACGAATAGACTACATGGTGCGATTCACTGTACTGTTTATATGTCTCGCAAAAAAAAGTGACGGTGTCTGTGCGCGGCACGCTGGACACCCCCCGCGGGGACCTCTCTCACCGACGGCCTCGAGGTAGGGGCAAACACTGAAAACGTAACTTGATCGGGGCGCGGTTTTTTTTGGACTAGACTGCTCGGGGGAGGTGGGCGAGTGATTGGGTAGCTTTGGGGCCGCCGAAAATAATGAGAACCGCCCCCTATATCTCGCCAAATCTCGATTTTTCGCGGGAATGGGCGCTTCTCAGCCCCGCGCGAGCTACAGTGACTCCCCAGGGCTTGTCCCGTGGCCCAAAGTGGTACCCCGAGCTCCGCCACGAGCGTGGTCAATCAGGAGACACCCACAGTCACGGCGGGCGAGGAGTTGGGTGACGGCCAACTGTCGATTACGGCGCCTTTGGAGCCTCCTGTATCGTCGGTTCGGCTCGAAGATCGTGCCGCATCCGCATGTAAACCACCTCCGCGCCCCCGCTGGCACATGTCCGCATTGCCCGAGCCTGGGAGAAGTTCCCAGTGCCCGGAGGCTGCACAGGTCCGCGAAACGCTGGCGCTGCAGCTCCCGGCGCGCACCCCAGATTCGCGAGGAAAACAGCCGAAAACGGGTCGCGCCGCGATCGACCCTCAGCGAGCCCAGGCGAGCCTGGTAATCCCACCCGGTGGTAAGCGCACGTCCTCCGCGTAATCTAGCGCGCTGTGCAGCCCGCCAGTGCATGGCGCCGACCTGGGCCGACTGGTCGATCTCGCCGCGATCTCGCCATCCAATTCTCGGTCAGGTGTAGTGGATCACCTTAAAATCCTGGATTAATTCCTGAGCCCACCTGGCCCCACCAGACGGGTGGCACGAGGCGCCCGGGCCACTTTTTAGCGCCTCCCGAGCCTCCCGGCGCCTCCTGTGGCCTCCTGAACCCTCTCCCCCGCAGCCTCTCTCGGCGACGTGGGGAGCGGCTGCCGTCCACGGCTCGCACCGGCTCTTCCAGCGGCTCCACGCTTGCCGCCTGTGACGCCCGCGCCACGCACTGCCACGCGGCCGCTCGAGAGAGCGGTCGACGCCCATACTGCTGGGCGTGGCGCTCTATCGGTCGACGCTTCGGCGTCGCTGCTTGGTTGGGGACCCGTGCCTCGACGCGGCGGCGCGGCCAAGTACGGCTCGGTGGCACAGCGCGTCGCCACGGATGAGATGCGGCCACAAGCGGCTGGGGAAGCTCCAAGAATGTTTCGTTCTACTTGCAGGAGAGGTGCAAGCAATTCGGGTGACTGCATGGCTCTTCGCGTCGAGGGATGCGTCCAAGATAATGAGTTGCTTCATTAAAGCGCCGTGTCTTGCGGCATATTCCGGGTCATCGATCCACGTGATGTGACAAACTAGCCGCTATTAATGAATATGGGAATGTTATCTAGTTAAGGCAACCCGAGCGACAACTCCGCGCTTGGCGTGTGTGTGCCTGCTGCTCAAGTCAAGCGGATATGAGCATATACACAACACACATACCACGGTCCGTCTGCATCCTCGGCCATCTACCGCCGTGCCACATCACCCTATGTGTTCGCTGTCCACCGCATGTGCCGCAGAGTCAACGTGCATTGCGCCGTGGGCGCGCCTCGCGCGCCTGTGGCGCCGCCTCATCAGCCGCCACGCCTGCTGCGGTTGCCCCGCGCTTCTTCGGCGCCCCGCGCTTCTTCGGCGCCCCGCGTGATGTGGGCGAGCGGCTCCGCCGCCCGAGCGGCGGCTTGACTGAGCAAGGACGGGACGAGGCCCTTGGCGAGAGCCAAGTTACGCCACTCCGGATCGTCGGTCGGAGGCTGTCATCGCTCGCGCAACTGCGCACAACACGCACACACGGCTCAGGCAGCAAGGCCGAGATAGAGCCGAGATATAGCCGAGATATAGCCGAGATATAGCCGAGGTGTAGCAGCCGCGGCGGCGGCTCGGGGGGCGGTGGGAGAGCAGGGCGGGCGCCTGCTTGTAGCGACTCGACTGCAGCAGCACGACGTTCATCCACTGGTCGACGAGCGTCGGGACGGCGACCCACGAGCCGTCCGCGCCGCGGCCATGTAGCAGCACGAGCAGCGCCCATGCGTGCACCTCCGCCTCGCTGGGCAACGCCTTGCCCGAGGCGCACAAGATCGAGTTCCTGCGGCGCGGGTGAGCGGCAAGAGCTCGCCAAGGCGGGGCGAGCGCGGCCACGGCGAGGGCGGGCACGCACCGCTTCGATTCGGGCGCCCCGCGCTGCAGCGCCGCGCGCCGCTCAAGCTCGGCCTGCACGTTCTGGAGGATCTGCTGCAGCTGCTCGGTCGTGACATCTGCGGCACACACGCGCAAACCTGAGACCCCCACGGGCCCGGCGGCGGCGCGGCGAGCGGGGCGCGCGCAGGGGCACACACGGGCGTCGCAAACGCGCGGGCGCAGCGCGCCTGGAGCACCAGGAAGGGTGCCACCGCCGGCGCCGTGCTCAGCGTGATCACCTGCACGCACAGGCATCGCAGATCGTCAATGTCCCGCTGTGTCCCGAGCTTGGGGCTCGCGCTCCGGCGCCACGGGCTCGACGCGAGGACTCTGGAGAGAATGTCAGAGTGAGAGTGGATGAGGTTGGAGTGGAGGCGGCAATCGCCGTGCGGGCGCGCCCGGGGCTGCAGACTCCTCCAAAGCAGCGGGACGGGAGCGCGCGCGCGACCGCGGGCCGGATTTTGCGGGGGAACTCGGGGGGAGGGCGCCCCGGACACGCCCTGCACGCGGCGCGGGCTGGCGCTCACCAGGAGCGGCAGCATTTGCGGTCTTCACCGAGGTTTTTCTTTCGCCGCCATCATTCTTTTCCCTGCGAGGGGCCTCACTTGTCGCATTTGCGAGGAAAGCAAGCACGAGCGCTGCGGCGCCGGAGTCTTTCGGTCACCATTCTGGACCATCTTAATATTTTTCAATGATTTTTGCAGGGTCTGAAAGCTGAGACTCAGCTCTTCACGCTCGGTATGAAAGCAAGGTCCGTCCGGGGGGTCCCATTTTTCAGTATTTCCCCCTACTCGAGGTGGCGATGACTATGCTCTATGCTGCCGCCACCCCACACACCTCAAGCTGTGGACGCTCCACATGCACGCCATACCCATAGCGCGACAGCCCATACAGCCCGATGCCGATGGCGTCGCTCACGTCCGATGGAACCTTGATCATCCTTCCGGTCGCCGGGCTCAGCACTTTGGCCGGGAGCGGCTGCCCGATGCGCTCCTCGACGTGCGCACGGATCTTGTCCTTGCGGCTCTCATCTCCTGGCAGACGCCTTCCAGGTTTGCGGGTAGTATTCGTGCACGCAGTCTATCGGGGGGCGAGTGTGCGCCTTAACGAGCCCGCGCACCTCAATGTTGAGGTCGATGCCGTTCGGGTAATCGGGGTTCACGAAGTAGTCCTCCAAAAAGACCATCTGCGGCGAGCCGGCAAAGACGGCGGGCAGCGCGCCCAGCAGCGGCGCAAGTCTGTTCGAACCCGACTCGTTCGTGTCGAGGCCGTCCTTTTGAAAGTAGCAGGTCGAACCGAGCACGGCGCGCGAGAGATCGAGCCAGCCGGCCTCGCGATGCGGGAGACGAAACCGCCGGTGGAGTAGAAGCGTGCAAAGCCGAGGTGGGAGTCGGCGGAGGAGCCCGGGTCGATGGCGAGATAGAAAGGCTCGGAGGACGCGGGCGGAGCGACAGGGGTGGGGAGGGGGGGAGCAGACGGCGCGGCGGAGTCGGTCGGCGCAGCGGAGGCGGTCGGCGCAGCGGAGACGGCGGGTGCCAAGGCAGCGCCGAGATGGATGCGGCGCACAGCCTCGGCGACGCCATCCCGCGTCCAAAAGGCGAGAAGCGCGGCGTACGCATCCGGGGAGAGCTCGCGCTTCAAGGCAGCGTCCGCATTGGCCCGAAACTCCCAGTCGCCCTTCTCCGCGAACATGCACTGCACGGCCGCCAGGCCGGAGTCAAGCTTGGCCACGTCGCAATCGCAAGCGTGCGCGGCACGCGAAGGACTTGGCGAACACAGCGGTGGGCCGGGACTTGTCTATCCACCAGCCGCGGTCCATCTCCTCCGGGTTCATGGTCCGAGGCGCTGCCGGTGCTGTCGGCAGCGCCGCCTCGATTACCTCTGCAGGGGCTGCCGGGAGAGGCGGCACAGAGGGCGTGGTGGCTGGGGCCTCCGTGGGAGCCGAGCTGCCGCTTGCGCGCCGCGCGCCGCGCACGCGCTTGTCGGTCTTCCGGGTCAATCGGCGCTTATAAGGCACCGAGGAGCGTTCGTTCCCTTTCCTGAGCACACGGCGCAGCGCAGTGGTCAGAAATCGCTTGATGCTCCATCAGCAGTGCATGAGGGTGGAGCATCGCGCGCCGGAGAGCCGAGGCGCTCTATTGCACGGCCGTAGGAGGGAGCAAACTGCCCCAAATATCCGCCATTTTGCATGAAACCCTCTCGACTGTCGCAGAAAAATATTAAATTCGGCGGGGGTCTACGCCGGGATCAGCATCCGGGTGCTCGCGTGCACCCCAAGCGTAGGAGACCACGACAAATGGCGGGAAGCGCATGAACTGTGGATGAAAGGCGTCAACGTTCTCCAACCACTCATCCCACGCGTCCAGCTCGGCGAAGGAGCGCTCGAGCATCTCCGAGTCGACTAACGCCTCAGGCGGCAGGCCCGGGCGGCGGGAGAAGCTGCCGCCTTTCGAGGCTGCCCCCAGCACCCTGCGTACCCCCTACGAGGCTTGTGTGTTGACTGTTGAGAACACCATTGTGAGCACCTCTGCGCAACTCTGTTTCTAGGGTATTTCGTGAAATACCAAATAGTATTTGTGGTCGGCGCAGAGCCTCTCCCAGAGCAGCAGAAGATATCTCACGTGTAGCGTGTACGCCATGAACCTGATCCAGAGATCCAATGTCTTTCGCGAAACTCTGGCGAGCGAGCGCTTCAGCAGGACGGCGCAAGCGTGCACCGGAGGCACACACATTCACGCTGAGTCAGGAATGTTGTTGTGAGAGACGCTCCCGGCGGAGCGACTCAAATTCATTCGTCTTGTTTTGGGTCTACTGCGCGCAGCTCCTGTACTCTGTGTGCGAGCGGGGCTTGCAGCAGCCTTGGATGCCCCGCGCGAGCATATTCTGGACGTGTTGCGACTCGAGGGCCTTCCGCGAAAGCCACAGCTCGTCGCCAAACGTGCCGTGGTTGCACTGCCAAACATAGCCGTGCGCTTGGAGCATCTGCACGAGGTCCGGCTTGGGCCGCTCAACGGTGAGCACGGAGATGGTGTATGAGTCCCATGGAAATGAGGACATCACGAGGCTCTCCGCCCCCTGCGATTTCGGTCGTGGTGTGAGCACGGCGACTGAGGTGTGTGGCGTAGCGCGCGTGAGGGGGTCGGAGCATGGATGGGGGTCCGGACGGACGCACGCCTCAACATCGAGAGACAAGTAGTCGATGGTCTTTGGTGCCTTAAATTCTTCAAGAATCCGCGAGAATGGGATCGTTCTCATCTCGCTCGTGTTCGTTGCCTGCTTATTATCCATGCCGGCACCGACGATCCCACCGAGAGCTTTGCGGGATGCGACGAACTGCACAGTGTCCTCGGTGCTCGCGATGGCCACTCCGACGACGGTGCAGTTCCTCCGAGAGAGGAGGTCGGCGTGGTACATGGGGTTGGCCTCGATACAGAGGCCTTCCCATCCATAGTCGCGCTCAAGCGCACGTGTGTTGGAAAGACTGAGCCACGCGTTCGCGGCCAGGTCGATGAAGAATCGCCGGCGCCTCGCTGTCGCTCTTGACGGCATGAGAGTATTCACAGTCCGGTCTTGCCCCCTCTGGCCATGCCACTTGCCCGGCTGGTCGCCCTTGACGGCAGTCGGGTTCGGAACAGCTTGGTAGATGGGGCGCAGCCGGAAGCGCGCCCCATCTGGGGGATTGGGGGCGGGGTCCACGCCCTCCACATGACTCGTGGCGGAGGCCGTGTGCATCAGCAGCAGCGCGAGAGGTCCCATCTCACGCGTTCGGGCTCGGCCTCGTCGCGCAAAGTCGCGGGTTGTACACCTGCGCGGGTATATGCATGGTGAGACCTAGTGGGCCCATGAGCTGGGAAAAGATGCGGCAGAGGAAGAGGGCGTGAAAGGAGAGGGCGAGGGCGGCGAGGGGAGAGGAGGTGCTGGGGAAGAGGGAGGGGGTGCATGAGGGGTGTGTGGAAGGGAGCGGCGGCGGCGGCGGCGGCAAAAGGCAGCGGCGACAGCAGGGGACAGCAGGGGACAGCAGGCGGCAGCAGGCGGCACGGCCTGAAAGCCACCCCGCCGCGCAATGTGGCGACGTGCCCGCCGCTTTTGTAATTGTGTACTTTTAGCTTACTGGGAGAAAAGAGAGAGGGGGTTGTGTTCTCTAGGCCCCTAAGGGCCCTACGCGCGGCGTGAGAGCTCGGAAGCGAGTGTATCGTTCGGTTTGTAGAAGATTTTTGCGAGCCTCCAAGTGCTCAAGTGCTCCCTCTCTCAAAGAAAATTGTTCAATAAGACTTTCCCGCTGCGCCTTTGAGGCTAGAATTCAACACCACAGCGTGCCCTGCCGCCCATGCCGTTCTCAAGGTAGGCCGTATACTAGATACTACGCTTTACACGCTAGCCCATAGAGCCGTATATCCCTCCCGGCTCCCGCCTCCCCCCAAGTGCCAAGCCCTGAATTGAGCGCCTTGGGCCTTCGCTCGGTTTTTTCTTTCCCTTACACTGGGTTGTATGTTCTTTTGGTCCTTCCCTAGCTTTCACATTCGGGTGCGGCTGTTCTCACTGACAGCAGACTCCTCTCACCTCTCTCTTCAAACAACCCGCACTCCAAACTCCTCTTCAAAGGCGCCTCCCTCGGCCCCGCGCGGTCGCCTCCGCTCGGGCTAGCCCTCGGCTCCCCGGCGGATGGCGCCGCCGCCGAGCCTCCTCGAAGCGTTGTTTGGCGGGACGAGGCGGAAGACAGCGGCCGGCCCGCGGTAGGCCCCATCCGGCATCATGGACGGCAGCCAGCGGCTCCCCTCGCCGGTCCGCTCGGTCACCATGCGGTAGAGGGCGGGCGCACCTAGGAGTAGATGACTGGTGAACTCATCGCTGACTAGAGTTCGGGCGCCATGCGGCGGAGAGCGGGCGCGCCTCCGGCGAGCGAGCGCTTGTTTGGGCAGCCTGAGAGCGGGAGGACTGGCGCGCCCGCAGGCGTGCCCATCAGCCACTCGTGCCGCGCCTCCTCGGCCATGGCGTGCGTGAAGGCGCCTAGTTGAGAGGCGCCCGTCTTGTCACCGTTTGGCACCGCTCTCGGGCGGGCTCCCCGGTCCGGTACCCAGCATCCTGTCGAGTCCGGTCCTTTTCGGTCCAGTCCTGTCCAGTCCTCCGGTCTGGTCTAGTGTTGTCCCCGGTTCGGGTCTGACCCCACGACTTGCGAGGCGGTGTCGCATTAGCCTTTGCAGCGGGGGACTCGGCGTTGTGTCGCCCCCGACCAGTCGCTCTCTGTCTGCCTGCCCGTTCTCGACCGACCGACCGTCCGATCTCGTGCGATCTCGGCGCGCGGGGCTGTGTTGCGCGGGGCTGTGTGCTTGCGCGAGAGGCGCCTCCGAGGGCGCTGGTGACAGCCCAGTAGATGCCCTCAGCCACCACGCACCGCTCGTCGCACGACTCGTCCGAGTACGCAAACTGGCCGATGCATGCGCCACCGCACGGGTCGCGCCAGTCGCCGCGGAAGCCCCAGCCGCAGTCACCGTTGGCCGCCTCGATGTGGCCGCCGACCTGGGAGGAGCGAGATCGGGCGAGATCGGGCGAGATCGGGCGAGATCGGTCGATGGGGCCGCTGACCTGGGAGCGGAAGGAGCCGCCCCACAACTCTGGCCACTGCCGGCCCGCCGCCGCGACAACGAGGTGGAGCACCTGCGTGGTGTGAATCCACCACCTGCGTGGTGTGAATCCACCGCCATCGGGGCGGGAAGACGGTCTGGTGCAGAGTCTTCAGAGCACCGCGTCATCACACGGGCTACGATGCGGCCAACACAACGACTGCGGCGACTCGGCCGGAAGCATCCGGAATCCGAATGCAGCGGAGCACCGCGCCCTCCGTCTGCTACGTGAATCCGGATTCCGCTTCTCCGCCGCGGGACGCCACGGGTGGGGGGGGGGGGAGGCGGCCGGCGCCGGCGGGCGCAGCGGGCGCGGCGCGAGCGGCTATCGATGTGGCTGTAGTCCGCGCGGCACTCACCTCCTCCACAGTCGCGTCTCTGCGCCGGTCGCAGAGCGGCGGGCCGGCGCCGACCGCGGCGGCCCACCCGCCCGCGCCGCCCCCGCCGCGGCTGGCCGGCGCCACACACGAGCGCAGGACGACGTCGGAGAGGCCCGCGACACGGCCGACGCCTAATGCATTCATCGATTCAATTAAGTCGATCTCACGACATTCGGAGAGGCCCGCGACACGGCCGACGCCGCGGCGGGGTAGGTCGGCGTACGCCTCGCCCTCGCGGGCCGGGACCTGCGCGTGCGTGTGCGCGCGTCAACTTGTGTATGCCGGTGCGCGTGTGTGCATATGCGCCGGTGTCTGGTGGCGTGTGTGACTGCTACTATCGACACCATGACGTAGTAACGGCGCGCGACCATGCGCCGGCGGAGGAGTGGGTCGTCCGGCCGCCCGTCCGCGTCGTTGTCGAGCAGCTGCGCGAGCACGTGGAGTACATGATCGCAGCGGGCGGAGGCGGCGGAGGAGGCGGCGGAGGAGGCGGCGGAGGAGGCGGCGGAGGAGGCGGCGGAGGAGGCGGTGGAGGAGGCGGCGGAGGAGGCGGTGGAGGAGGAGGCGGAGGCGGGGTGGTGGCGCCTCGACGCCGACCGGCGGAGCGCGCAGGCTGTCGCCGCGGACGCTGTGAGGCAGACCGGGACGCGGAAGGCGTACCCGACGGCGGCGCACGGGGAGAGCCAGCTGGCGGGTGCGAGGTCCCACCACAGCGGCGCTGCCATCGCCGCACTCACGCACAGACTCGGCAGCCCGGGAAGGCGGCAAGATCGGTGGGTTGGGTTCGGTTCTGAAACCCCAGGGAACTCTGCTCCAGTCCAAGCCTGGCTGTTCTTCACCTTTCTACCTACCTACCTGCTTACGTGTGGTCGCCCGCGAAGGCAGCGCATCTCTGGCTAGAACTTGTACTTTCAAAACCAAAAGGACAACCGCTCTGTGTCTTGCTTCGCCAACAACATACCTACAACAAAGGACAACCCACTGCTAGCATTGCTTGTACACCTTGAAGCGCATGCTCGTCCAGCTCCACCGCTCGATGTGCAGCGGCGCCCGGCTAGACGAAGGCATGCCAGCTGCCGGCACACCCCTCGTCGGCGCCGCAGAGTCGGCTATACCCTTGCTGGGAAGCCAATCCGTGCACATGCGGCGCGCCTTCTCGAGGTACCTCCACCCGCAGGCGTGATCACGCATTCGCGTCTCGACGTCAGAGAACCGGAGGCCCATTCCATTGGCGGCGTGCATGGCGGTCAGGGCGGCAATTGTGGAGCCATCCTGTCTGCTGTGAGAGAGAGTTGTTTTGTTAAATTCTCTTGCGTCAAGGTGCTTGCGCTTCGGCGGTTAGTGGCGAAAATATGCATTTTTCGAGGCATAGGGAGGAAAAATCGCGCCGCAGGCGCACACAGGCAGGGAGGAAGGGAGAAGTTCAGCTCTAGAGAGGCCGGCCTTCTTTCTAGCGAGGCTCCCGGCGTGGCGAAAATATGCATTTTTCGAGGCATAGGGAGGAAAAATCGCGCCGCAGGCGCACACAGGCAGGGAGGAAGGGAGACGTGAAGAGTGCCCGTGAAGTGCTAAATAAACAAATGCTTCGCCTCCCGGCTGTGGAGAAACCCTTCGGGTCGCTCCTCATCGCAAACCCTGTCAGCAGAGTCCTCCTACGGGAATGTACGTAAAGAGCTACATACACTGAAAATGATGATTCGCACGGAGTTTCCGGAAACTAGAGGGTGCTGTAGGGAAACGAGCAGCCGAGCAGGAAACGAGGAAAGGAAATGGGACGGGGTGCGGGAGGAAACATGGGTTAGTCAAACAGAAGAGGACGGCACGCTGCAGCGACACATACAGACACACACGCAATTGACTGATAGAAGGCGAAGAACACCTCTCGACTGACACCACCGCGGTATGGGTGGAGAAAACGCAAAGATACTCTTGGCTTGGGCCCGCGAGGGGACCTTATCTCACGTGCCCGGTCCACGCCACCTTTGGCGTGCTCATGCGCCGTGGCAGCTCGTCCCTCGTTGGCGCGTCTCGGCGCCTCTCCTCGGAGGCCGCATTTCTCCGACGGCGATCAGCCAACCACGCGCCGCTCACGCCGCTCACCTTCCTCGCTCGCGCCGCCGACGTCTATCCCGACCGAGTAGCCATCGTCTACGACGACTGGGCCGCCTCTCCCGCGGCGGAGCGGACGCCGGCCACTGAGCGGACGTGGGCGGAGACCTCCGAGCGTGTGGGTCGCCTTGCCTCTGGCTTGCGGCACCGCTTCGGCGTCGAGCGCGGCGACACGGTGGCGGTGCTCTCGCCAAACACGCCGGCTTTCCTCGAGGCGCACTTTGGCGTCATGGCGGCGGGCGCAGTGATCAACCCGATCAACACGCGGCTCGACGCGCCTGCGCTGGCCTACATTCTGCGCCACTCCGCCGCTAAGGTACTGCTCGCCGACTCTGCGCACGCGACGACAGTCGAAGAGGCGCTCTCGGAGCTCGAGCTGGCAGAGCGGCCGCGGCTGGTCTCGCTCGTTGACACGGTGGCCGGGCCGCACGCGGGCGGCGGAGGGGGCGGGTGGGGGGAGGAGTGCGAGTACGAGGAGCTGCTGGCCGGAGGCTCCCCGGAGGAGCCATGGCGGTACGGCCGGGATTTGCTCCTCATCAGCTTCCTAGACCTTTCTCTAGACCTTTCCTGGAACCGTCCTGTAGGTACCCGGAGGACGAGTGGGAGACGCAGGCGCTCAACTACACGAGCGGCACCACCGGCAGGCCGAAGGGGGTGCTGTTCTCCCACCGCGGCGCGGCGCTGAACTCGATCAACAACGCGCTCATCTGGAGCCTGCCGCAGCACCCATCCTACCTTTGGACCTTGCCCCTCTTCCACTGCAGCGGCTGGTGCTTCCCGCACACCGTCACGCTGCAGGCGGGGGCCAGCCGCACCGCATGAGATCACCCGAGATTACCCGAGATCACCCGAGATTACCCGAGATTATCCGTCACGCTGCAGGCGGGGACTCACGTCTGCCTGCGCTCTGTGGACCCCGCTGCCGTCTTCGCCGCTATCCTCTCACAGCGCGTCTCGCATCTCTGCGGCGCCCCCGTCGTCGCAAACATGCTGCTGCATGCGCCCGGCGCCGCGCACTTCGGCGCAGCGCTGACCAGCGCCGCGGCGGGCGGCGGCCAGCGGGTGAAGCTGCTAGTAGGAGTAGGAGTAGGAGTAGGAGTAGGAGGAGTAGTGGTAGTAGTAGGTTTGGCCCAATGGGCTCGGGGTGCCAACATTAGGTCAAGATGCTCTGCGCCGGCGCGCCGCCGCCCGCGGCGGTGCTGGAGGCGATGGAGGGGCTGGGTGTCGAGGTGACGCACGTGTACGGCCTCACCGAGTCGCACGATCTCGCGTGATCTCGCGTGATCTCGCCCTGCAGGTGACGCACGTGTACGGCCTCACCGAGTCGTACGGCCCCGCGGTGGCGTGTTCGTGGCAGGAAGAATGAGAGTAGCAAGGAGAGCAATGAGGAGAGCAATGGGAGTGGTAATGACGAGGAGACAGCGATGGCCATGATGAAGACGAGACCGCGTCGGACTGCCGGTGGCGTTCTCGTGGTAGGACGCGTGGGCGGGGCTGCCGCCGCGGGAGCGTGCGGAGCTCATGGCACGGCAGGGGCATCGGTACCCCCTCCTCGAGGGCCTCGACGTCGCGGTGGAGGCGGAGGCGGGCGGCGAGGCGGCGGGCGGCGAGGCGGCGGGCGGCGAGGCGGCGGGCGGCGGCGGTTTCGGGCCGCGGTGGAGGGCGGCGCGACGGGACGGGCTCGCGCTGGGCGGGGCTGTGATGGGGCGACTCCTCCCCCAATCTCGCCGCATCTCGCCGCATCTCGCCGTAGGCTCGAGCTGGGGGAGGTCGTGATGCGCGGCAACGCTGTGATGAAGGGGTATCTCCCCCATATCTCGCCATATCTCCCCCATATCTCGCCAACGCTGTGATGAAGGGGTGGTTCGCGGACGAGGGCGCGAGTCTCACATTGGCCATGGAGCATTGCTCGCTCATGCCTCGTTCTTAGGTACCTCGCGGACGAGGGCGCGACGGAGGAGGCGCTCGGGAGTGGCTGGTTCCGCACGGGCGACCTCGCGGTGGTCCACTCTTCCCGTACCTTTCCTGGACCGTTCCTGGACCTTTCCTGGAGCCTTCCTGTAGGCGACCTCGCGGTGGTCCACCCTTCTGGGTACCTCGAGATCAAGGACCGCGCCAAGGACATCATCATCTCAGGCGGCGAGAACATCTCGACAGTCGAGGTCGAGAGCCGTGCGGTGCCGCCTCACGAGCTCGCTCTCAATGGAGTCACGAGTGATTTCATGTGCAGGTCGAGGCCGTGCTGTACCGGCACCCGGCGGTGCTCGAGGCGAGCGTCGTGGCGAGGCCGCACCCGCACTGGGGCGAGACGCCGTGTGCTTTTGTCACGCTGCGGGAGGGGCACCGCTGGGAAGAAGGCGGCGGCGGCGGCGGCGGCGGCGGCGGCGGCGGCGGCGGCGGCGTGACGAGCGAGGCGGAGATCGTCGAGTTTTGCCGCGCGCGGCTCGCCCACTTCAAGGCGTTTGTGGGTAGTGAATCCATTGGTTACGGCGGCCGGGGTGGTTGCGCTGACCGCGCGGTTTCGCCCGCGTCCAGGCGCCGCGCTACGTGGTTCAGCTGCCGGGCGGGATGCCGCAGCCGTCTCGATGGGCATGTGTGGAGGTGGGGGTGCTCACCGCTTGGTGATGGGCCATAGGCGGGCTGCCAAAGACGTCGACGGGCAAGATACAAAAGTTCCTGCTGCGCGAGACGGCGCGGCTCGCCGCCGAGGAGGAGCAGGGCGGCGCGGAGAGCGGGCCCGAGCGGGTGGCGGTCTGACTCTGAGTCTGGCAGCTTGGTCTGGAGCCGGACGGTGTGTCCGCCAAACAAGCGCTGAGCTGATAGGGAAAAAATATCTTTTGCCGGCGCTGACGCGTAGTGAGTATGTGTGTGGGGTTCCGTCGGGTACATCCGGCGCGGGACGGACCGATGGCGATGCAGATGTAGAGCGCTGAAATCGGTCCGTCCGATGTAGCTACAATTCCCGTTTGCGAAAGAATTGGGGCGTTGTGTGCACTGCTCTGCCGTGAGACGCGTTGAGGAACCGCGAATATTCAATTTCCACGCTTTCTTGCTCGGACCATAATGGTTCTTAGCGAACCAGGAAAGAGAAAACCGACGACTCCTTTCTCATGGCCGCCCACCGCATCGGCGCGCGCGTCGCGGGCCTCTCGCCAGAGCAGCTGTGCGCTATCATCGAGGCGCAGGCGGGCGCGAGCGACGCCGCGCTGCGCGTGGCGGACGAGCACGCCACACGGCTCGTGGAGCAGCCCGAATGGATCCTCTCCGAGGTCCTCCTCTCGCCGGACCTCGTGCCGCACATCCTCGCCCAGCTGCCGACCGAGTCGCACGCCGCCAAGGGCACCTGCCGCGCGTGGTGCCGCGGCTGGAAGGAGACGCTCGTGAGGCGCGAGAGGCCGCGCCTGCTCGTGATCGGCGGCTACAACAGCAACGATGGCGAGCGCCTCAACTCGCTGGAGCGGTACGACCCGTCAACGAATGAGTGGACGGGAGAGTCGTTGGCGCCGATGCCGTCGGCACGTCCGGATGTCGGCATGGCGGTTCTCGACGGCAAGCTGTATGCTGTGGGTGGGTACGGCGACGGCGACCCCGGCGACCCCGGCTCGGTGGAGCGGTACGACTTCGAAACGAAAGCGTGGGAGGCTGTGGCGTCGATGGCGACGGAGCGGGTTGTTCCCGCCGTCGCGGTGCTCGACGGCAAGTTGTACGCTGTGGGAGACTTCAACGACGACGGCGGCGACGTCAACTTAGTCGAGCGGTACGACCCGGCGCTGGATGCATGGGAGGCCGTGGCGCCGATGGAGACGGCTCTGGCGTGCTGCGGTGTGGCGGCGCTCGACGGCAAGCTGTACGCTGTGGGCGGCATCGACGACGACGGTGGCTCCAGCTCGCTGGAGCGGTACGATCCGGCGACAAACGCGTGGGAGGAGATGGCGCCGATGGCGACGGCTCGGATCGGTTGCGGCGTTGCGGTGCTTGACGGCAAGCTGTATGCTGCGGGTGGCTTCCACGACGAAGGCGGCGGCTACCTCAACTCTGTCGAGCGGTATGATCCGGCCGCGAATGCATGGGAGGAGGTGGCGCCGATGGGGACGGCGCGGCAGATTCCCTTAGTGGCGGTGCTCGACGGCAAGCTGTACGCGGTGGGCGGCAAGGACTATGACGTTGACGACGGCCTCCTGCTCCTCAGCTCAGTCGAGCGGTACGACCCCACAGAGAATGCGTGGGAGGCGGTGGCGCCGATCTCGACGGTGCGGACCGGCGCCGGCATTGCCCTGCTGTGAGTCGGTGACTGCTCGTGTCTGCCGGCCGCCTTGGAGCAGCCCCGCGGCGCAGGATAATACAAACACAGTGGTCCCGTGTCGTAGTCACACCTGCCGTAGCCACACACACGCACACGCCGCTCCGCACCGCTCGCCCGCCCGCCGCCCCGCCCAGGCGGGAAAGAGATGAGGGGATGGGACAGCGCAGGAGGAGCACAAACACATATGCGGGGGTAAAGTTTCTTTTTTTTTACGACGTGTGTCGAAGCTCAGTTTCGAGTTCCGCGCTATCATCTAATCGCCGCGGGGATGTGCGTAAAGTTTGGGCGACGTGAGTGGCCGAGATCAGCCCAAAAGCCCGTCCTCGGCCCCGTCGCAAGCCTCGCTGCTACCCCTTCCCGCCTCGGGCGGGCTACTGTCGGGCGGGCTACCCCCGTCGCCCGCCGGACTGCCCGCCGCGGGACTGCTGCCCGCCGTCCGACTACTGCCACCCGTCCCGTCGCTCCGCACGCCGTCGCTGGCCGGGCTGCTCGCCTGTTCACAGCCGCAGGGTGTGAAGGGGCGGCCTGCCCGCCGTCGCGGGCCTCGCTGCGCCGGGCTCTGCTCGCCGAAGACGGCCCCGCCGCTGCCCCGTGCGCCCCCTGCGCCGCCGCCGCCGCCCCGGACACCACCGCCGCCGCCGCCGCCGCCTCCGCCTCCGCCGCCGCCTCCGCCGGCTCTGCCGCCGCCTCCCCCCCCTCCCGTGCCACGCCCGTCGGCAGCCGGCTCCACGACGGGTCGGGAGAGTGGCCCGCCAGCGAGAGCGAGCCGCGCGAGAGTGTGGCGCTGGCCGAGGTGCGGCGCGACGTCTGGGCCGAGTCGGGCCCGCCGATCGCCACGCCGGTCCGCTTCCTCCACAGCTTGAGGACGGCGGCCTGGTGGCCGTTGGTGTGCAGCTCCGCGAGGTAGTCGATCGGGTGGCACTCGACGACCGCCTTTGGAGGGTCGAGGAGTCCTGCTAGGTGGTGCCCTCGCCCCAACGAGTGCTCCCTGACTTTGAGTACCGTGGGAGAGCGCTCGCCCACCCCCTCGGGTCCTCCGCCGTGTGCTCTCAGTACTGACCCCTGCCCGGCGTGGCCTCGCCCTCGGCGGCCGCCTCGCCACTTTTCCCATTTTTTCCCTCCATTTCCCCCCCCCCCCCCCCCCTCCCTCCTCCCTCCCTCCCCCTCTCTCGCGCCTCGCGCTCGTTTCGCTTGTAGAGCAGCCACGAGTTGCCGTCGCTGTACACGGCGCGGATGTCCTCGAGCTTGAGCTCCTGTGAGCCGGCGCAGGGGCTGTTGGGTGGTGCTGGAGGTGTAGCAAGGTCTGTCAACTATACAATCGCGTGTGAGTCCTCGAGGGAGTGTCTAGGGAGTGTCTAGGGAGTGTCTAGGGAGTGTCGAGGGAGTGTCGAGGGAGTGTCTAGGGAGTGTCGAGGGAGTGTCGAGGGAGTGTCGAGGGAGTGTCGAGGGAGTGTCTAGGGAGTGTCGAGGGAGTGTCGAGGGAGTGTCGAGGGAGTGTGGAGGGAGTGTCGAGGGAGTGTCTAGGGAGTGTCTAGGGAGTGTCTAGGGAGTGTCTTAGGGAGTGTCTAGGGAGTGGGGAGGGAGTGTCTTAGGGAGTGTCTGGGGGGAGCTCCTTGATTTGGTCGATGCGGACGGTGACGGTGCGCGCATCGTCGTCGAGCCGCTCGAGCGGAGTCAGCGGCCACAGCTTGCGCGAGCGGCGGTACACCTCGGCGAGGATGGGCTCGGGTACCGTGGGGGGAGGGTAGGGGTGGGTTCGGGTACCATGGGGGTAGGGGTGGCGGTGCACCTCGGCGAGGATGGCGAGCGCTTGGCTCGCCGAGTCTGGCGTCAGGGAGCGGACCAGCTGCGGCGAATAGTAGACGAGGATCGCGGGGCCGCCTGGCCGCTTCTGCGCCGAGGCGCGGAAGTGCTGGTCCGCGATGCCGGTGCGGCTCATCTCGTCGCAGAGCACCTGTGATTCGTCAATCAAGCAGCGATGACTGGGGGGGCCTTATTACGCCCGCGCCGCCGCAGCAGCACCTGAGATTCGTCAATCAAGCAGCGATGACTGGGGGGGCCTTATTAGGCCCGCGCCGCCGCAGCAGCGCCTTCTCGTCGTCGGCCGAGAGCTTCTCCCACGCGGCGAGAACAGACTCCTGCGCCTCGGTGCTCTGTGCCTGGCACAGCAGCCTCATCATCGCGATGGCGTGCTCCCCTGACGGGGGCGCGCCGAGCCGCAGCCGCGGCGCGGCGTCGCGCCAGTACGACTCAAGGTAGGTCTCGAAGACCTCCGTCTCGGTCTGCGTGGCGAGGGCGGAGAGGACGGAGAAGGAGGTGATGAACGAGCCCAGCACCTGGTACGGGAAGCCGAGCACGAGGCGCTCCGATCCGTCGAGCGGGTTTGGCACGGCGCCGGCCAGGTCGGTGAGCCAGTGCACAAAGTAAAACGAGACGTCGGGCGGGTTGGCCTCGCCCGCCATGATGACGCGCTTGAAGCGCGCGAAGAGCGCGTGCGGCGGCGCCTCGGCTTGCACCAGCCAGCCGTGGTTGAAGGACATCTTCGACTGTGTGAAGAGCACCTGAGAAGAAGAAGGTGCGGCGGCGGTGCTGACAAGAGAGTGGGTTATACTATAATATGCTAAACTATACTATCCCACTACTATACTGTACTATGCTCTTGTACTGGTACTATACTACACTATAAGCACCGAGTGGCGCTGCGTCGCGTCGAGCCCGGCAAACGAGGGCAGCGCCTGCGGAGAAGCAAGGCGAGGGGCGCTGCAGGACACGGAGCACACTGCAGGTGGACTGCGCGCAAGCAAGCGAAGGGGCCTCGCGCCTCTGGGAAGTGGTCGAGCACATAGTACATCGCAACGTCGTGGTCGTTGATGACGTCCCCCGCCGCGAAGCCCTTGAACGGCGCGTGCTCCGGTCGTACGCGCGGGAGCAGCGCCTCAACCTTGAAGACGTCGTGGATCGCCGTCAGCGCGAGCATCGCACACATGCGCGGCACGGCAACCTCGACCGCACCGCCGCGCCCGCCGCGCTCCGTGAGCATGCCCGCGTCGACGAGAAGCTGCAGCAGCTTCTTCCACGGCGTGTTGCAGTAGAAGGTTAGCCGCTTCTTCAGCGCAGCGGAGCCGTCGAGATCCTCCTGCTCCGGAATCTTGCGCGGCGCCCAATCGTCGTCCACGCCGAAGGAGAGACCGCACTCGCCGTCGATGCCCACGCGCGCCAGCCAGTAGAGCGCAAACAGCGCGCCCAGAGTGCGGCGGTACTCCTCGTCTGGAGTGAGACCCGAGGAGATGTCGCGGTGGCCCGCCTTGTACTCCTCGCGCGTCACCGTGTACAGCTGCAGCTCGGGGAAGGCCTGCCGCACGTCGACGTAGTAGTCGCGCAAGCCGTAGTCGCGGTGGCGGAGCCGGGTGGCGGCTCGCTTGACGGCGTCCCAGTCGGTGGTTCGACCCGACAGCGCGAGGGCGATGGCGAGGTTCGGCTCCTGCTTGCGCGGGAGGAAGGGAGCCTCGGGGCGGGGAGACGGCTGCAGTGCGGCAGAGTAGTCTCAGAGCACTGCGGAAGGGGCGACGAGGACAGTGGATACGGCGGAGTACGCGCCCTGTCGAGAGCGCTGGTTAGGAGACGAGAATACGCACTCCGCTCCTCTAGGCCTGGGGAGATCTGGGGAGATCTGGGGAGATCTGGGGAGATCTGGGGAGATCTAGAGCGCCGCTCCCCCTCCACTGCGCTCGTGATCGAGCGCGCCTCTGGCGCTGCGAGAAGAAACTCGCGCGGCCCCGAGGTGCCTAGCGGGAGGGAATAGCAAGTGGGTCGGCTGACGACACGACACGAGAGGCCATGCGCGGGCCCGAGGTGCCGCTGGAAAATGAGGCGAGGCGCGTCTGGCCGCGGAACAGCAGCTTGTACATAGTCGCCTGAATTCACGCGTGATCCATGGCGGATGCTTGTGAATGCTCATTTCAGAAAGAAGCAGCTTGTGCGTGGTCGCCTCTTCGTACTTCGCGGCGCCGAGCTGCGCGCGCAGCTGCGCCACCTGCGCCGCCGAGGGACGAGAGGGTATGGGGATGCTACTTCTCAAACTAGTGTTGCGCAGCTGCGCCCCCTGGGCCGCGAGGGCCTCGTGGTCTCCCTATCTCCCCCTATCTCCCCCTATTTCCCCCTCTCTCCCCCCACCTGCGCCGCGAGGGCCTCGTGCTCTCTGGCGTCGCCGACGCACGCCTGCGAGAGGGAGGGGAGGGGGGGAGCGGGGGGGGTGGGAGGAGGGGGGAGGGGGAGAGGAGAGGGCGAGCTTGGGGGAGGGGGTGGAATTAGGGGGAGGGGAGGGGAGGGGAGGGGGTGGGAGGGGGCGGGCGAGGAGGGAAGGGGCGGGGCGGGGCGGGGAGGGAGGGGAGGGAGGGAGGGAGGGGAGGGAGGGGAGGGAGGGGAGGGAGGGCGGAGTGGGAGGGCGGGGAGGGAGGGGAGGGCGGGGAGGCGTGGCCTGTGTCCCGCTCCAGAGCAGCCGCCGCGCGAGTCTGTCCGCCTCGACGCAAGTCCACAGCGCGAAGAGCAGCACGCCGCTCGCTCCCACCGCCCCCCAGAGCAGCCCGTGCTGCGCGCTGCTGCCCAGCGCCGCGCCGCCGACAAAGAGTCCCGCCGAGGCGGCCGTCACCGCCGCAAGCCACACCGCCAGCAGCGTCTGCCTGGCGAGCCGGAACCGCGCGGCGAGGTCACGGTAGAGCGACTCCACCGCCGCCTCCTCGAACGGCGCCTCAAAGACGGAGGGTGCGAGGCACCCTCGGAACTTCAGCCGCCGCTGCAAGTCACGCAGCTTTTTGGCCGCTGCCGCCACGGCTCGGCCTGAGGTGGGCTCGCCGGACGTCCGCGTGGTGCGCCGTCGCCCGTTCCCGGAGGACGAGCCTCCTCCGCCCATCACACAAAATACGCGCCACGGCGGCGCGCGCGCGTCGGAGGTCCTATACGGCTGGTCTCTGTCGCTCCGATGCTGAACCCCGTCTTTCTTCTGCGCGTGTTTTTCTTCTTTTTCTGGGGGGCGCCCCTGTCCGCGCGCTTGGTGCCGACGTCGACCGGGGTGGCGCCGAGACGTGCCGCTTTGGTCGCGTCTCGCGCGCTGCGAGGTGTCTTTTGGCATGTGAGCGCTTGCCAAAGACGCCAGCAAGCTCGCCTTCCTTGCCTGCGGCCGCGGGCGTGCGGGCGAGCCCGCCAGGCTCGGCGAAGCTCGGCGCGGGTCTTCGAGCTCGCAGCCGGCGGCGAGCCAGCATGGCTCGTCGCTCGACGGGAGCCTGTCCAGTATGCTTTGGGCATGCTGTACAGCATCGCCAACTCTCTGGGAGGGTCTACGACCCGGTGAGTGGGTGAGCGCCGCGCGGTCGAGTTGGCGTTACTGGTCGTCGGCTCGTCGCGAGGGGAGCATCTGCATATCGTGATGCGCCTCCGGATCTGTGGATGGAGCGGTCTTCGCTCTGCCCCTGGCCCAGCTGTGGGCCTGTGGCTAGTGGGTGCTGAAGGACAGTGACCCCTTATACAGAGTGTCACATACTCCGACAGCCATGGAGGTCACCGAATGGAGGGCGAACGGCACGATACGAAAAGGCAGGGCGCACTGTGTGGAACGGGGGCTAGCTCAAGGTTGCCTTAGATTGTCAATGGAGAATGGCCGCGTTCTCGCACCTTTCCTGTACGCGTGGGTGCGTCTCAGAGGACGAATGCGCACCGGATCTTCGAGGACTTCAAAGTCGGCCGCGCCCCACGGCTATCCCGCCGGCTATCGAGCGTCGCAGCGCGACGCGCTTCACCCCTCGACTCCGCGCTGCGAGTCAATCGGGAGACGACGCTCGGCCACCGCCACTCCACCCCCTGACGTGACGCACATGCGCCGAGTGTCCCCCCTTCCCGGGCATTCACACTATGTTGACGATGCCGAAGGAGGAGGAGGATGACGACGTGTCGTCGGTCGACATCGACGGGTCCGAGGACGAGGAGACCAAGGAGGAGGACGAGGAGGCCATGAATGACCTCAGCAACGCCGACATCGTGACCAAGTACCGGTGTGCCGGCGACATCGCGAACAGCGTGCTGACAGCCATCATCGAGGCGATCAAGCCGGGGGTGAAGGCGGTGGAACTGTGCAAGCGGGGCGACGATCTGGTGGAGGAGGCCACCTCCAAGGTGTACAACGTGAAGAAGGGCGGCAAGAAGGTTGAGAAGGGCTCTGCGTTCCCCACATGCATTTCCGTCAACCACTGCTGCGGCCACTACTCGCCGCTCACCTCGGAGGACGACGTGACGCTGGTCGAGGGCGACGTGGTCAAGATCGACCTGGGTGTGCATGTCGACGGCTACATCGGCGTCGTCGCACACACGCACGTCTGCACCGCCGACGCCGCAGCGCCGCCCCGTGCTGTACGAGAAGCGAGTTTGTCGCGCAGGTCAAGTTCACCGTCGCGCTGCTGCCGTCGGGCAACGTGGCGCGCACGACGAGCTCGCCGCCGCCGGTGGCGAACTCGGAGAAGTCGCTGACCGACGAGGCGCTGGTGGCGCTGCTCGCGACGAAGAAGAAGAAGGGCCGGCGGAGGGGAGGGCGGAGACTGTTCCGCCGCGCCGGCCGCATGCACCCTCGGGGGGAAAGGGGGAGGGGGGCGAACCCAGCCTGGCGGCGTCGGCGCGTGAGCGGCGGAGTGGGACGGGCAGCACTCACCCCCTCCCTCGGGGTGGGTGTGCAGTCGTCCCCCTCCGACCTCGCCTCCGCTGCAGCCCAGCCGCGATCGCCAACCTCCCCCTGCGCACCCCACACCCATCCTGTGTTGAGCATTACGTACGTGGGCTGGATCGATAGCGGCCCCGGTTCAGCACAGTAATAACCTTTAAAATGGATGGTAAGGCCGCGAGAGACTGCGCGACGTATCTCCGTGCGACACAGGGGAGCGCCCGAGGCCCTGGGCGCTCCGCCCGCGCCGCTGCGCACACCCCGCTCCCCGGCGCGGGCGCGGGGCGGCTGGCCCCCGGGCGGTGCTCTCTGTCTCTCGTCTCTGACCCGCCAGGAGACCGCACCGGGCCGGCGATGAACCACGCGGCGTGCCCAGCCGAGAGAGGAGGGATGAGAGAGAAAATACGGTCATCACACGCCGTCGACGGCATCGGGATGGCCATGGGCGCAGCACACGAGTTAGCGCTCTGTGACATTACCTCAGCATCACATTTCGTCTTTGCTGGGTTGTTCAGCGCCTATCCCGGAATCTTCCAGACGCCGCGCGATTGCCAGCAGAAATGCTTGCCTCAGCGGCGCCATCGCCGTACCTGTGATGCAGTCAAGTGATGCTAGTGGAGTCGCTCTCCCATTTGTCGACCGTGCATTGCTCTACTACTCTGGCGCTCACTGACGAAGATCAGCACTGCAGCCGTCACTCGTGGATTGCTGCTTTGCCGCCGCAGGCTCCTCTGCAGCAGCAGCAGGCGGAGCACTAACCTCCGCCGTCTCCTTCGGCTCTTCCATGTGTGCGTCGCGAAGTGGAGAATTGGTTGCGTTTTCGGAAAAGAATTTTACTCCTCTCCCGACACGCGGCGTGCCGTCCTCCCATAAATAAATAAATAAAACGGACACCTCTACTAGGAGATGGGTAAAAAGTCCTCCCATCCCTCCCTTGGGTTGTCTGTTTATTTTCTTCTTTAGGCACGGGACTGGCGCGCACTGGCACTAACACAGGTACCCCAGAAAAGAATTTAACAGAAAAGAAAAATGCGCATACAACGGGAAAAGAAACGGAGGCAACGACGGGATGGGCTAGCAGCCAGTGGCAGCAGCGGCGTGACGCGTGTGTCGCTCGACTGCCGCTGGTGGCGCAAAGGACCAAGGTCCCATCTAGAGTCCGTGTTTTCTTTCTTTCTGCGCGCTGGTCTCTGTTCTTCACCTTCCTACATACATACATACATCTGCAGTATACGGCATACAAGGAGAGAGAGAGGTACTGCAGTATACGGCATACAAGGAGAGAGAGAGAGGTACAGAAGAGACGTACAAGGTGAGAGAGTACAAGGTTGTCCGAGAGGAGCCAGAGCGCGCGAGGGCCAGTGCGCGGAGGACGCAGGAGGGCGAGGGCGCGCAGCACGCCCCTCAGACCTCAGCGCGGGCCGGAGTACGGCGGCGCCTGGAAGAAGTCGGGGGCCGGAGCCTTGCCCGCGTCGAGCGGGTCGTGCACCGTCCAGCTGCCGTGCTCCGGCGCGATGTCGTGGACCAGCCAGCAGCCCGCCGCCTCGCCGAGCATCTCGGCTGCCTCCGGATGGGCGTCCGCGTGCTGCCGTGCCAGGTGCCACTTGAACACCACCTCGCCCTCGGCGTCCGGCGCGTCGGGAAAGAAGGGCGACGCGCGAACGTGGACGTAGCACTCGTCGAGGGTTGGGCGGAGCGAGCCAATGATGTGCCAGGATCGCATCTTGAGGAGCGCAGCCTGCGGCCGGCCAGCGATGCCCGTCCACCGTGGCTCCCTGCGAATGGTCCAGCGAAATGCCGGCATGGAGCCCGCAGAACTGCGGTAGGCGCGACAGAGCTGACCATCCGGCGCGATGAGCGCGAACAGCGCCTCGATGTCGTCGTCGCCGCCGCGCTGGAACGCGGCGCACTGCGCCTCGACCACCTGCAGCGGCTCGAGCTCCGGCCTAGGCAGCAGGGCCTTGACTTGAGCTGCGGCTTCGCTCACCGATACGCCGGGCTCCACCGATCTCTCTGCGCACAGGCTTACTGCACGAAGCGGCGCTCCGGCCGCACCTTTACGGCTGCCTCGCACTGCAATGGGAACTGCGGGCTTAAACCACGCGTGCGGCAACGCGAGCACCGCGATCAACGCCATGCTAAGAGCGGGACGGGTTGACTTGGAGCGCTTTCGCGTCGCGTCATCAAGCGCTCGCGGTTTCTTTTCCCGAGTTTGTGAGCACTCGAGCTGGGCTTGCTTATTGATGATGAGTGTGGGTAGCTCTCTATTTTAAGACCAGGTAAACAGCAATAGATCCGGCCCTCACGCGGCCTAATCGATACCTGGCCCTCACGGAATCGGTCCCTCGTTGTACAGCAACTGATCCTTCCGCTGCTGGCGCCTCATCTACACCACCTCCGACAATATCCTGGGCACGACTCGGCCGCGCCCGTTCCGGCCGCGCTACAAGAGGATCTTGCAGTCGATCGATGCCCGTCAGCTCGCGGCGAAGAACGAGGAGTGGGAGAGATAGGGTGCCCACAGGACCCAAAAGAAAATAGCTTTCTGGCTCAAAAAGGGACGCACGCGGCAAATCTGATGTTGGCCAGTTCCAATAGGAGAGAGGCCTCTTCCGTTGGGGGACCGAGTGACTTCCGCCCGCGTGTTTTTATGTTGACATGCGCGGGGCCCATCGGGGTGCACGCGTGCAGGCTGAACAACGGGCTCGCGCTCGCCTCTCAGAAGGTTCAGACGCCAGACAATCTGGAGATGGACGAGATGGATGAGGAGGAAAGAACCCGCCACCTCCGCAGGCTCCGCAAGCGGGGAGTGGACTCCAATTTTCCGGCCCCACCGCCTCTGGAGTTTTCCCGGCGTTGCAACGGCACGTGCCGAAAGGACCGGACCGTCCCCATCATGCCTGGGGAACCAGGCCGCGGCCGAATGCACGTCTTCCCCAGTCTGCCGCCACGGCGCATTGCTGGCTGCCTCGAGGGCCCGGAGCTCGAGGCCGCACGGGCGGAATGGCATGCTCTGGACAAGACCGACGAGCGGGAGGCGATGCGCCGCGCCCGCAACCTTGCAATGAGTCGCTCAGCGCCGCATCGCAAGGATGACTCCGCACGCCGAGCCGAGGCGCGGCGCAAGAGCACGAGCCAGCAGCGGAGCCATCGCGTGGCAGATCGGGCCCGATGGCGCCTCCGCAGCGACGACATTGCAGACAAGAGAGCGCACCGCCATTGGAGGGCTGTCGTAATGCGGAGCGGAATAGGCCGCGCGTTCGACCTGACAGAGCGGGGTGCACCGACGCGGCAAGACCCCTTGGGCACCGAGTCGACGCGGCTGGAGAAGATTCGCCTCTACAACAACGCGTGTCTCCTCGAGGAGAGAATGGACGAGTTTTTCGCTGCCTGGGACCGCGAGGGCGAGGCCATCAGTTTGGAGCACGGCTCGGACCGAGCCCTCTCGCTCGTTGCCAAACGCGTTGTCACGGCTGCAAGGAGCGAGGAGGCAGCAGATCGGAGAGCCGCAAAGGCGCGTGACGAGGCGGCGCGCAGCGCATGTGGCCCGCGGCCGAGCCAGCAGTACGGCGAGAGTGAATCCGCCTTCAGGGCTCGGCAGCGTGCCTACAACGCGAGGCGCAGATTTGATGTCGTTACGGAGGACCAGTGCCAAGGCGAGGCGACGAGCGGGAGCACGAGCAGGCGCTGCCGGCTGCGTGGTCATATGGTCTATGCTCAGGCGGCGCCGCTACGCTGCGGCGGGCGGTACTGCGCACACCACGAGCCCGATCCCGCTCTCTCCGGGGTCACACGCTGCGCTGGTCTCTGCCCGGGCGGCGTTCCGTGCAAGCTGACCAGCGCGTGCAGCTTCCCGCTGGCACGGCCTCTGCGCGAGGGCGGCCTCTACTGCACCCGCCACATGTGGCAGGACTGGACGCCGCCCGCGGAGTGCGTCGGCGCTGTTGGCGGGTGCGCCGCGGCGGTCGATGCGGACTTCGACGCGAGCGTCGCCGAGTCGCTCGGCCTCGGGTACTGCAGCGCGTGCGAGAGCTCCTGGCGCGCTCTCGGCGGCTGGTGCTCGGCGGAGGACCGTCGGAGATGGTTTCACGAGCGCGACATGGTCGTGCTGGTGCGCTGCTCGGCATTGAACGCGGACGGCAGCCCCTGCCGTGTGACGAGCATGCAGGCGCATGCAGGCGCGGAGCCTCTCCGCCGCGGCGCCGACTGCTGCACCGTGCATGGCGGCGAGCTTCTGGTGGACCGATCGCATCCCGCTCCTCCTGTCAACTTTGTGGCGGGGCAGGTGGAGGCGCGCCGCATCGTTCTGGATCGAGGCCGCAACGCGGGGGGAGGCGCCGGCCTCAACTACGGCGTGTTTGCGCAGGCGTTTGACCGTACGTGACTTAATTTTTGTATGACCAAGGGCGCAGATAGAAAGAAAGAAACCGGACACGCCACACACCGTGGGCCTCTCTCCCAGACAGGTGCTTTTACACGAGAGACAGATGCGCCGCGCCCGCAACCTTGCACTGAGTCGCTCAGCGCCGCATCGCAAGGGTGACTCCGCACGCCGAGCCAAGGCGCGGCGCGAGAAGAGAGACAGAGAGAGAGCTTTTAGCAATAACATTTAAAATCTTGCCGCACACGCCCCCTCGCCCGACGGCGACGGGCGACGCGGCGCGCCACCCCCGCCCGGCGCCACCCCCGCCCGGTAGGTGTAGATGAACCCCCGCCCGACCTCGCGTCTACTTGGGTTTGTCCGCGACACATCGCGGGAAGATACAGGCCCTTTTCTCGCGGCGGCACGGGGTGCCCATCCAATATCACCCCCCCGTCGGGGCGTGAATCCAAGCCGAGACTTCCCTCGTACCCTTCCGCTGTACCCTTCCAGCGGCCGCTGTACCCTTCCAGCGGCCGCTGTACCCTTCCAGCGACCAAACATGGTCGACCAGCTCACTGGCTACTACCTGTTCTACTCGTCGTGCCAGCTCTTCTACGTGCTTGTGTACGCGGACGCCTTCGCTGCCGCAAACTTCTGCCTCTCGGTCGCCGCCTGCGTCATACCGTCCGACCTTCGGTGGTCGCTGGCAGCGCATTGTGGTTATGTGGCCCGCGCGGCATGGCTGATGCCCTACCTATTCAACAGCAACATCTGGCAAATGATATGCGACACGGGCTTCGTGCTGGTCACCCTCACGTTTGCCGCACGCCGCGGGTTAAGTGGCACGTCGACTCGGCCGATCGCGACGCCCTCCTCCGTGAAGCTGCCGCCGTGGTGTCGAACGCGATCGTGTGGTTCTACCTTGGCGCGGGCGTGTGGAAGATCAACTGGGGATTCCTCGACACGCAGGGCTCCTGTGCGCCAATCTACATCCTCCAGCTCTTGGACTACTACCTTCTCCCCACCGGCACGATGCCGCCAGTGTGGCTCACCCGCCTGCTTGGCGTGACTGCACCGGCTGTCGTGATTGCCGTCGAGACGTGTTTGGGCGTGCTCCTCCACCTACCTGGCGTCTGGCGCCTCCTCGGCGTCGCGCTCGGCATCCTCCTTCACGCGCTCATCGCGCTCACGCCCGGCCCAAACAACGCGGGCGGTTTCGGCGTGATGCTCCTCGCCCGGTACTGCTTCTTCGTGCCCGCCGCCGCCGCCGCCGCGCTCACCGAGCTGCGACTCCTGCGCGGCCCGCTTTTCGCCCTCGCACTAGCCATCGTCGTCTCCAGCTCACTGCCTGCGCTTCTCCGCGGCGCCGACCACGTCTTCTTTGTCGACTGGTCGCTGCCGGTCTACACGGCCCAGGCACTAGTTCTCGGTCGCGCGTTGGCAATCGGCTGCCGCTGTCGCGTGGCGGCTGAGAATACGGCGGTGGCGCGAGGGGCGCGAACGAACAGCACTGGCTCGCCGCACGCGGCACGCGCCGACTCTAGCCGCCGCTCGTCGTCGTCAGCGCCGCGAGCCGCGCCGCGAGCCGCGCTGCAGGCCACGCCGCCGCCGCAACTTGCCGGCGGCGCCCAGAAAGCACTTCGCTGCGGCTTCGCCGCGTGGATGGTCTGGTATACGTTCGGCTTGCCCATCCTCGGGCTGCAGGACATGGGCAACGTGCATATGTTCGCGTCGCTGCGGCTGCACGGCGGGTCCAACCACCTCTTTTTGCCGACGGGCCTGCTGCAGGAGTGGCTGGTCAATGACGAGCCGTCCTCGCCGTGGTCAGGCGGCGTCGTGCGCGTCGAGTCCGCCACGTCGCCGACCATGCGCAACCTCTACCCAGCCGAGGTGACGCACATCCTCTCGCCGCGCACGCGTGAGCTGCTGCGCACGATTGGGCACACCGGGCGTCGACCGCCTTCTTGGATCGGCCAAACAATAACAATACACGGCACTGTGATGATGCTGTGATTAGGCGCCAGTGGTTCCCGCTCAAGACTCGCATCTTCGGCCCCGCACCGCACCCCGAGGAGCTCGTTGGTCCCCGCCTTCCGTACACCATCCCCGCGCTCGAGCTGCGCCGGCTGCTCAAGGAGGCGCGCGCTCGCCGCGAGGTGAACTACGAGCTGAGCTACACGCACCTGCCGAGGTGGTGGCGCAAGATGCCTGCCGGGCGCCTCGACGTCAATAGCTCTCGCGCGCACCACAGCGATTCTACCGTCGCCTTCTCCGTCGATGGGCGGGGGGTTGAGACCTGCACGTCCGGCCCGACGGGCGGGTGGATGCTCATGGGACGCTCTTCCACGCCCTGCGGCCCAAGGGAGCTGCCGAATCTGCCCCCGCCGGGCCTCTGGCCGCTTAAGTTCCTGCTTTTCTACCCCGTGCCGCTGCTACCAGCGGAGGCCGGCCCCTCGGCGGAGATGCCCTGCGTGGACCCGTAGCGTGTACAGAAAACGGTCGAACTCTGACGAATGACGTACGTATGTAAAGAGTGAATGCAGAAGATGGGATAGGGGAGGGATAAAGGTAAGTCGACATTGTGGTGTCGCTATCGCGGGACCCTGCGAGCTGCGTGGGGCAGGCGTGTGGGGTTCCAGCTGCCGCGCATATGCACACACACGATCTTGCATGCGGGAGGGATCTTCAATCCACATCCTGAGACACCATCAGTCACTGCCTGGATCAACAACATGCATTCTATCTCCATCATCAGTCACATCGCAGCGCGATGTCCTGTCACAAACCAGCGGCACACCACGACGAGCAAATGCCGGACGATGGTTCAGAGGTCAAGCGAGAACACTCCGCATTCGACCGACGCGGGCGTCACCGCCTCCCACGGGCGCCAGTCGAGCCCTCTTCCCCAGGCGCAAAGCTCCTTCTCGACCCGGAGCTCGTGCTGCACTGTCTCGAGCAGCTCCGAGGTGACGGTCGAGCCGCGTTGGCGGGAGCGGCGGTTGCCGAGAGGTGCCTTCTTAGCCACTGTTTCAATAGAGCGGCGTTCGCTGAGTGGGGACCGGCGGGGCCCCAGTGGAGATACCATGGTTGGTTGAGATGCCGTGACCCCGGACCGATGTTGAGTACCCAGCATACTGGGCAGAGGCGCCGATGAGGACGGCAGCGGCTATGGCCATGAACGCAATCCAGTAGCCTGGCTTGCGCGAACCCGGGAGGCTCAGGCTCGGCAGGCCGGCGCCCAGCTTGTTCTGGACGTTATGGGCCGCGTTCTCGATGTCGCCCACAGCGCCGCCGGTGATGTCGTTGGCGACGTCCTTTGATTCGTCGACAACGTCGCTCACGGCATTGATGACGTCGTCGACGATGCCGCGCGCCTGCGGCTCCTCGGTTGACACAGGCTCCTCGGTGGCAGCCATCATCCTTCCTCCTCAGTTCCTACTTCCGGCCTTGTCGGGATGCCAACCACCTTCTTTGGCCCCATTTTTTTACTTTACCATTCTCAACACACACACATCGATTGGGAGAGAGAGATTTTCAGTGTACGTACGTACTTATAGCTCTCTCTCTCTCAGTGTATGTAGCTCTTACGTACATTCCCGTAGGAGACTCTGCTGACAGGGTTTGCGATGAGGAGCGACCCGAACACCAATGACCTCTTGCGTGATGGCGCGACGATCGGGGCATGCCTCGACCCCAACCAGGTTGTCCGGCCCCGCCCCGACGGCTGCTTCTCCTTTGGCGCCGTCTCCGACGCTGACGTGCAACACTTCCTTGCCGCTTCCCGCATGCGCCCTCTTGGCGCCTTTTGGGCCACGCGTGTCGTCGCCGCCAGCCTCCTCCACGCGGCTGGGGCTGACGACCTTGACCCCATCGTCGTCGAGAAGGACGGTGACAGCGTCACGGTTCGCATGCGTTTTACTCTCGTCGGCCTCGATGCTGTCCCAGGGTCTGCTGTCTGGAAGGGGGCGCCGCTTGAGACTTACGCCACCGGAAACAATTAGGTCCAGACCCCACCGTCCTCGGCGGCTATGCTGTCTACCTTCTCGAGGAAAAGTCCGTTGTTGTGACCTGCGACATCCGAGTCGATGAGTTTGCCTACCCTCTGGCGCCGCAGCCGCCCGAGGACATTTACCGGCGCTTCCTCACTCGCTCTGCACGGGACCGGGCCGGGAGCGCCACCCTCGCGACGCGTGGTGTTCCTCCGCCCCGGGGTGCCAAGTTTGTCATCTACCTCTTCTCCGGTCCATATGATCGACCTGATGGCGTTGCAGCGCACCTCGCCCACTACGGCATCCCCTGCGCCTGTTTTGACCACGCGGAGGACCCGAGGCACGACATCTTCCTCGACGAGTTCCTCGAGACCGAGATCCTCGCCCCCATTGCTGCCGGGAGCGTTGTCGCCCTCATCACCTCCCCCAAGTGCGCTTACTACTCCATATCCAGGTGGTACAGCCGCGACTCCGGGGATGACCTGCCGCCGCCGCTCTTCTCCCTCCGGCACCCTGACGGCATCCCTGAGAGCGAGTTGCCTCCTGCTCATGTCGGCGAGCAACGGCGGGCCAACGCCGAGCGTGCGCGCGTCCTCGAGATCCTTGAGCTGTGCATCGCGCACAACGTTAGCCTGCGTCTTCAAAAAAATGAACTCTTCGGCACGGGACGCGGCACAAACGTCACAGTATGTGTTACGTGTGAGTGAGTATTCTTGATACTTGATACGAAACCACGACGACACACACCAGTCGACTCGTATCGGTTGCCTCCATGAACGGCGGAGCTATTCTCGCGCCCACACCACACCTGGCTCCAACGTGGACACGCCCATAGCTGGGGACACTACTAGGTCACGCATGGCATCAGAAGTTTTATCTCTGGGCCCCGAAAGGCATCTCTAGCACACACACACACACACACACACACACACAGTATGTGTTACGTCGGTTGCCGTGAACGATGCTGTTGGTCGCCCGGGCCCCCAATCGGCAGAAGACGTCACACGTCGCCATCATTGTATGTATGCGTGTTCGCAGCCCGTGCGCCGCTTCAGTGATGGTGCTCCTCCTACCAAGCGTCGCCGCCACTCCCGAGGATGGAAATGTCTCCGCTCCGGCCGACTGCTGGTGGCGCGAGGCGCACGACTGCTGCGACCGCACCGGCACCGAGCTGCTGCCGCCGTCCGAGGTGGAGCGAGCGTACAATGAGTTTGTGCGCGAGGTTGGCGGCGCGGGTAAGGACAGCCTGTCTCGCACAATGCCGCCGCAGCTGCTCAGGTATCTCGAAAAAGTCCACTCGCACAAGAATGCGGGCGCCGCGTCGCTGCACGAGATGTACGCGCTGGCCGCCGCGATGCTGTGGGTGGCGCGCTGGCACGGCCCGTCGATCCGCAGCGTCGAGACGGGCTTTGCTCAGGGGCACTCAGCCCTCGCGATCGTGGCGGCGGCGCACGGCGGCGGCCACGCGATCAACCACACGGCGATCGACCCGTACCAGTTCAGCCGATGGGGCGGCAACGGGCGCGAGGTGATGGCGGCCTTTGATCAGAAGTGGCCCGACCCGCGCCGCCGCTTCCGCCACCTCGCGACCCCCGCGGCGGCCGGCCTGGCGGCCATGCAGAGCGGTGGCGCGTGCGTGCAGCTCGCGTTCATGGACGACGGCCACAAGTTTGACGACAACGTGGTGGAGCTGCACATGCTCGGGCTGATGATGCCGGTGCTCGGCGTCCTCGTCATCGACGACACGCCGATGCCCTCCGTCGCGGCGGTGGGCTCCTTCATCGAGCGCAACCTGCCCTTTCGGCGCGCCGTCGTCAACGAGCGCTTCGTCGCGTACGTCAAGGTGGGCCGCGACACGAGAAAGTGGGACCACTACGTGCCATTCAAGGGCGACTTCAAGCGCGCGCACCCGACCAAGGGGCGCGGTATGCAGTTCATGAAGAACGTGAGCGGGTCGTGGGCGCAGACGTAGATGAGCGCCAGAAGGGTGGTCCATGACTACTCTGAGCAGGGCTGTGCTTTGGTGGGGCTGTGTTTGAGCATGTGTGAAGCGGGAGTGCGTGCCGGCGGCGTCTGTGATCTCGTGTAATGTGCGCGTGAGGGCCCGTATGTGGGTTAGTTATGAGCCCGTGTGAGCTTTCAGACCCGAGACAAGTGCGGTTCGGGACAGCTCAGGCTTGCTACTGATGGGCCTGGGACAGGAGAGCGACAGAGAAGGCGAGGTGGTGAGCTGAGAGGCTGGAGAGTCCGCGCGTGACCTTGTCGCGATGCAAGTGCGCAAAAAGCGTTGTTTGCGGCTATTGCTCAAAACTGTGGGAGAGGGGGCGCACTGCGCTCCGCCCGATCCCAGGCGGCCGAGGAAGCCGACTCCGCCGAACCCAGGACGCCAGCCAAGCCGGCAGACGAAAGTCTGCAACCCGCCCCCAACACAAACCGCACACACACATGACCACGAGCCCCGACAGAGGTGACCACCCACCCCCAGGCAAGTAGAGCACTTGTCTAGCTCGGAGAGAGCAGGGGTATGGGGCGGGAGCCAGGGGACAGCACAATGCCGACTTCACATGGAAGGAAGGCGATCCGACACTTCAAGGCGAACTCCCCCTCCTTCACTTCCAGGCCCCGGCCTTCCATTGTCTTAGGACTCCTAACACGCATGCGTGGGATTCTAGCGTGGGATGCCCAAAGGGGTACGGGGGAGGGGGGGGAGAGTAGTCTCGTTCTTTCGCCAAAACGCAAAAAAAAAGGTTGCATGCCGCTGACTTTGATGATCCCAACACAGCACCCATGAATTGTATTGTCCCGCCATCCATGCGCATCGACCGCCTCTCCACCGGCCAAGCACTCACCCAGAATGGGTGCGGCATGCAGATGGCCACGGCCTCGCCGCTGGCGGGCGCGTGGATCGACGCGTACGATGGTCATCACCCGATCGTCGACGTCGGCTGTGCGTACGGCCTCGCGGTGAAAGAGGCGGCGGTGCGCCTCCAAAGCTTTTGCCCGGATTTGTCCCAACTACCCTCACGATGAGCGACGCCGCCGTCATGCCATCGATACTGAGCAAATAGGACATGGGACACACACAAGTGCACACCCACACACCCACAGCGCGCGGCTGCCCACCTTTGCACAGCCGCCTCCCGGCCCTTGCTGCAGGCGCGCAGCGTGCCGGTTTTGGCCATCGACTGCTGCGAGGAGCACCTAGAGGCGGTGCGGCACACCTGCGCTGGCCTTCCCTCATTTGAAGGCGCGCGCTTTGGGAGATTGCCTGATGACCTGTCGCTGCCTGCGGCGTCCGCTTCCTCGTTCTGGTCGCGGAGGTCCTCCACTTCTTGAACGGCCCACAGTGCGACCGCGCGCTCGCGGCCCTCCACGCCACGCTCGTGCCGGGCGGCCTCCTCTTCGTCACAGCGCAGTCCGTGGAGGGGTTTCTCAAGGTGGTCTTTCCCGACGGCAATGCTGAGGCGCGGCGGGTCCGCGACGGCGTCGCCAAGCGTGCTGCCGCTGGAGAGCGCTGGCCCGGCACATACGTGATGGAGTCGGAGGACGTTGATCTCGAGCAGATCTACTCGGGCGTACTCCGGGAGAGCGTTGGCGCGCATCTGCCGCCCGAAGCGCTGCGCGCGGCGACGCCGAAGTACGAAGTGGTGCACACGGCGCAGCACCTGAGGGCGGGGGCGGAGCGCGCCGGGCTGATTGTGGTCTCGGCGGTGGAGACGAGCCACCCCGGCTACCCCGATGGGGCGGACGTCGTGCAGCTCGTGGCGAGGAGGCCTCTCTGACCTACTCTCTACCTACTCTCTGACCCAAAGGGATATCCCCCAAAAAAATTGTGTTTTGATCTTTCTCGCGCCACCGCCCACCCATCTCGAGCTTCGTACGGCTGTCGTCAGAGAGCAGATGCCAGAGATCATCTCGGAGTGGCAGATCCGACCCGGCAAGAGCGCAAGACCTCGAGGGACTGGTTCTGCACGCGCGCGCGCGCGCGCGCGGCGCGAGGCCCAGCCCACAGCCACGATCGTTCACAAGAGAACGCACCCCAGAGTACGAGAGACCCTTCCCCATGGCTGCCACGGCGCCAGCTGTCCTTGCGCGCGGGCTAGGCCGCCTCCCGCGCCCTGGCCCTCGCAGCGGCACCTGACGCGCGCCTCGCCTTGGCTGCGGCGAGCGCCGTCTCTGCCGCCGCCGCTGCTGCCTCGGCCGCCGCTACTGCCGCCTCCTCCGCCTCCTCCTCCGCTGCGGCAGCCTCCTCCTCCTCCTTTGCCGCTGCCACAGCCGCCGCCTCCGCCTCAGCCTGCCGGCGCGCCTCCGCTGCCGCCTCCGCTGCCGCCTCCGCTGCCGCTTCCGCTGCCGCTTCCGCTGCCGCTTCCGCTGCCGCCTCCGCCGTCTCCTCGTCGCCCTCCTCCTCGCTCGCCTCGTCCGCCGCCTCTCCCAGCGCCTCCGCCAGCCCCTCGACCGACGTCTCCGGCGTGATGTTAAACCGGATCCTCTCCTCGGTGAGCGTCTCGAGAAGCAGGAGAAGCCTCGCCTCCTCGGCCTTCTTCGCCGCCTCGGCTGCGTCTGCCTCCGACGGCGCCTCGGCACCCTCCTCGGGCTCCTGCGACGGCCCAGCCCCGCCCGCCCCGCCGCCCGTCTTCTTCTTCTTCTTGCCCTTCTTGCCCTTGGCGCGCTTCTCCGCCTCGACCTCCGCCAGCAGCTCCTCCGCGTGCCGCGCCGCCTCCTTCTCCTCCGCCGCCCTCTGCGCCTCCCTCTCCGCCGCTCCCGCGGCCCACGCCGCCTCTGCCGCCGCCTTCTCCGCCGCCTTCTCCGCCGCCGCATGCTCCTCGAGGGCGCGCACGCACTCGGCGTGGCCCTTCTCCTTGGCCCACTGCAGCGCGGTGTTGCCGTGAGCGCGCAGCGTCGCATCTGCGCCCGCCCGCAGCAAGCAGCGAAGGGCGGCGGGGTGGTCTTGGAAAGCGGCGATCATCAGCGCGGTGTCGCCGGCGATGGTCTGCTGGTCGATCGCCGCGCCGTGCCGGGTCAGCGAGTCGACCACTTTCTCGTGTCCTGCGCCGGCGGCCTGCATCAGCGCGGTGTTGCCGAGAGCAGTTTGGTGGTTGATCTCCGCGCCGTGCCGCAACGCCAACTCGACCAGCTTCTCGAAGCCATTCACGGCGGCGAGATTCAGCGCGGTTGCGCCTTTGATGTTCTGCAACGAGACATCCGCACCGCGCTGGAGCAGCGCCTCGGCCAGCCCCTCGCGGCCATCGGCCATTGCGACCATCAGCAGCGTCATGCCGCTCACAGGGCCGTCCGAAAAGACGTACTCGAACCTCGCGTTGACCCGCCCGCCGCCGTCGAGCCACGCCAGCACCGCCTCGTCATCGCCTCGCGCAGCCGCTAGCACGACCTCCACTGGCACCGCCCCGCCGCTCGGCTTGGCCTCCGCGCCTCCCTCGCCGCTCGAAGCAGAGGCCGCGGCACTCGCACGCGCCTGCGCCGCCTGCTTCGACCGACGGCGCCTTGCTCCGGGCCGCCGTCACCTCCCCGAGATACGTCCTGAAGGCTTCGACGCACTCGGCGTGGCCCTCCTCCTTGGCAAGCTGCAGCGCCGTCTTGCCGTACGCATCGCGCAACGTCATGTCTGCGCCAGCCCGCAGCAGGCGGACCACCACGGCGGGATAATTGCCGAGGGCGGCGAGCGAGCATCAACGCGGTGCCGCCGTTGTTGGCCCGCAGGTTGATCTCTGCGCCGTGCTGAAGCAGCAAGTCGGCCATCCGCGCATGGCCGTTGGCGGCGGCCATCATCAGCGCGGTGATGCCTGCGCTGTCCTGCAGGTTGATCTCTGCGCCGTGCTGAAGCAGCAAGTCGGCCATCCGCGCATGGCCGTTGGCGGCGGCCATCATCAGCGCGGTGATGCCTGCGCTGTCCTGCAGGTTGATCTCTGCGCCGTGCCGCAGCAGCATCTTGGCCACCTCCTCGTGGCCGTTGGCGGCGGCGAGCAACAGCGCCGTACAGTCTTTGCTGTCTCGCGCGTCCACTTCCGCGCCGCGCTTCAGCAGCAGTTCAACCAGCTGCTTGTGACCGTGGGCGGCAGCGATCAGCATGAGCGTCCACCCACTCACATCGCGATTCACGCACGTCGCGTCAACCCGCCCATCCCCGGCGAGCCACGTCTGCACCACGCCGACCTTGCCGTTCTCCGCCGCCGCTTCGATTCTTTTCGGCAGCGCGAGCGGCGCAGCAGTAGCCGCCGCTGAAGCGTGCCCGCGCCGGGAGGCGGCTGAGCCAGCCTTCGTCCGTCCGGGCATACAACAGGGCGGGGTTCCGGTTGCTGTTGCTGAGCGCCGCGCACGCTTCGGAAAAAAGAATTTTGGCGCCCCCCTTGGGGTGTCCGTTTTCTTTCTTTCTTTACTGGGACAGGACTGGCGCGTATAAAAAAGAATTTTCGGCCCCAGTTTCCCGTGCCGTCCTCCCATCCCTCCCTTGGGCTGTCTGTTCTTTTCCTTGCCTCCATCGCCCGTATTGCAAAACCGCCGTTCCCCCCTCGGACACGTCCTTCCCATTCATGATCACGGGCACAAAACCACGCAGTTGCGAGCTGGCGGCGGCGCGACGCGCCTCACGCCCTCGCGTTCAGGATGCGGGGGTGCCCCACCGCGTCAGCGCGCGCTTGGAGAGGTGCTGGCACTGGTGGTAGGCGGAGCGGCACGAGTGCGCGAGGCCGATCGCGACGAGGACGCGCGCGAAGCGCATCCCGTTGGGCTTTACTTGAGCCACTGGCAAGACCGTTGGTGGCAGCACCTCCAAGGTGGCGGAACGAGATCCGCCCTTCCTCAGGCCAGCCAACCTGAACCTGGTAAATAAATAAATAAATAAAACGGACACCTCTACTAGGAGATGGGTAAAAAGGAACAGGTCCCAGACAGGTCCCCGCCCTCGTGAACCTGGTGCCCGCGGCAGAGATCTGAATAAAACGGACACCTCTACTATGAGATAGATGGGTAAAAAAGGAAGGAGCAGGTCCTTATGTTCTTTGTGTAGGGTTTTCTTTCAGCTTGTGTGTGCCAGTCCGCGCCAGTCCGCGCCCTTGTCGTGCCAGTGTGCTGTGAGAGAGGCTTGTATCCTAAGAATTCTTTCAACAATATGTGCAACCAACCACGCCTTGTACTTATATCAGGGGCCCGCAGGGCACCGCTTCCTCTGGGAAACCCAACCCAAGAACCGACGGATACTTATGTCCTTACCCTTTTGCGCGCCCGCGAAATGGAGTCGGAGCACGGGCCCGTAGCGCAGCGCCCGTGCGTAATCCCCAGGGTAGGTATTCATCCGCAGCCCGCAGGCCAGGCGTGTCGGGTAGAGAGAGCGCGCCGCCATGCGCGTGCAGCGCGACTCGTCCGCAGGGGAGATGAGCGTGAAGTTGCCGCGGGCTCCCGATCTGGCACAGTCCTTCCACAGCAGCCAGTTGAGCGCAGCGTTGTCGTTGCCGGAGCAGCCGTGCGACCTGACCGGCTCCCGTTCGGCCCGAAGGAGCAGGTCCTGCGTCCACGCCGAGCTGCGCAGGAGGAGCTGGCCCGTGTTGATGGCGTAGTTCTTGTCCCCGCTGAAAACGAGGTCTGCTGTCTGGTAAGTTGTCCAGCGCTCAAGGCCGACGCAAAAGTCCATGAAGAGCGAGTCGCAGTCGGTCCAAAAGACCCACTCGTGCGACTTCAGCAGGCTGCGCAGCAGAGAGAGCTTGTGCCATCGGATGTCCCTGTGCACGTCCTCCTGCCGCGCCACGCTCGGCTTGTACAAGTAGCCGCGCGCCCGAGCGTACGCCGCGTGGTTTGCCATGGTCAAGTTGGCATACAGGCCCACCGTGTTGCGCTGCCCGTCGGGGGCGAGAGCGCGGTCGTCGTAGCAAATGGTCGTGATCACCAGCGGCTGTGAACGCAGCGTCGAAACTGGCTCCACCGCGAGAGCCATGGCGCACAGGATTGCCACCAGAGTCGCGGCGACGGTGAGAGGGGCGGTGAGGCGGCGCTAGGCGCAATGTGTTTGTATGACGCGCATGTTTTTTGTCAGTGTCTCCATTTTTACTATTTCACCTTGCTGCATGGGGAGATCAAGTTAAATGTCTTCTTTCTGTGTGTGGGAGCGCGAGCGAGGGGGCGGAGGGACGAGGGAACGAGGAGAGTGCGAGCCGCGAGAGCGACAAGGACATAAATAACAGATAGGTCGTCCTTCCTGCAAGTACCAAGATAGATCCTGCACACGACACGAGCGCGGTGTGACGATAGATAGAGTACCCCGTTTGTGCCGCGTCCTGTGCCCCCGAGTTCATTTAATATAAAATAGATTAGGAAGACGGTCAGTCCAGTTTTCGAAATATTCTGGCGCACGGCCATCAGGGCACAGGGGGCGTATCGGCCTGAGTTACAGGACGACTCCTCGGCATGGGCCTAGCTATAGGGTTGCAGACATTCAGATTTGTTTGGGAGGCCATACACACCACTCCCCCGGAGAATCAAACAATAAGTGGTAAATACCACTCATTTACAATGGCAAGAGTGGTCGGACTGTGTTTCGCCTTCCCATCAATCAATCAAGAGTGCCTCGGTAAGGTGGAAGGAATGCGTAGCGTATTCTTGCATTTTTGCTCTCTGCTAAGTAAGAGAGCAAGCATTGAGCGGGCGCGGCGGGCGCGGGAGCGGCAGGCAGGGGGGGCGCCCCCTTGCGGCGCGGCGATTGGGCCGTTGGGAAGCCTCGCCGCGTCGACGCGGATGAGCGCATCAGGAACGTGAGGACGATCTTCAATCAATG